TTCCTCCTGCATTCCTCCATCAACCTTTTCCTTCTTTACTCCTGGAATATCATTTAACGACGGCAACTTTTATTTTTCAGATATTTCTCCTACAGACCTCATATCCGCCGTCATGAAATCTCATTCCAATTCCATTGGTCCAGATGGTATTCCCGTCAAATTAATCAAATTATGCCTACCTGAAATCCTTCCCGCTCTACTTTTCATCTACAATTTCTCCCTTCAGAACGCAATATTCCCTTCCTCATGGAAAAAAGCCATTGTCCGTCCTTTACTTAAAAATCCTAACCCTTCTTCCCCTGAAGATTACCGTCCAATTTCAATTCTGTCTAACCTTGCAAAACCTCTAGAACGAATAGTCCAATCCCAAATTTCCAACTTCCTAGAACAATCCAATCAACTTGACCCTTACCAGTCTGGTTTTCGACCAGGCTACTCCACACAATCCGCCCTAATCAAAATCGTTAGTGATGTTCAGTCAGCCATAGATGATAAAAAACTAACGGTCCTTATCCTCCTGGACTTTTCCAAAGCCTTTGATACCATTAACCATTCCATCCTTTTCTCCAAATTGAAATCGTTATCCTTTTCCAACAGCTCTATCCTTTGGTTTCAATCATTCCTCTCTCAACGTACCCAAGCAGTCTCTATCCCGAACCAACCTTTATCATCCTATCTAACTCTGTCCTCAGGAGTGGCACAGGGCTCCAGCATATCTCCTCTCCTTTTTAGTTCATATATTAACGACCTTCATAAATCAATCCTTCACTGTTCACATCACCTTTATGCCGATGATTCCCAAATTTATCTCTCCTTCGCTCCCTCTGAATGGCATGATGCGTTTGCCAAAATACAAGAAGACCTAAATCGGATTTGTGCCTGGGCAAGTGAAAATGGATTAAGGTTAAACGTTGCTAAAACCCAAGCCATTGTCCTCGGTTCCAAACCCCTTCTCAGATCAAATACCAACATTCCTCTCCTGTACCTGAATGACCAACCCATCACCTTCAACACTTCAGTTAAAAACTTAGGTGTTATCATAGATCAAACCCTCTCCTGGAATCACCATATTTCCCTCATATCCCGACGTTCAATTTCCATCCTGAAACTCTTCCATCGCTTCTGCCATCTCCTACCCATATCCACACGTAGACTCCTAGTATCCGCCCTCATCTTCCCCCACATTGACTACGGCTGTGTAGTGTACGGTGGCCTCTCATCGGAACTTGGAGTCAGACTGAAAAGAATAATGAATGGCTTAGTACGATTTGTCAATGGGACCCCGAGACGTTCTCATGTTTCCCACTACTACGCCGAGTCAGGGTGGCTCTTCCCCTCCTTCAGAAGACAGTACTTCCTAGGTACATTCCTTTACCAAATAATCTATAATCATCGTCCTTCCTACGCATTCAATCTCCTTCAATTCAAGTCATCTATCCACTCCCTCTCCACAAGATCTCGTCCTTCCGACCTTTATACCCCTTTCCACAAATCGGCCTCATTTCAACACTCCTTTATTGTCCGATCCACCACATTTTGGAATTCCATCCCACTTAAAATCCGCCATGCACCATCCTTATCCACATTTAAAACCCTCCTTTTCCAATTCCTCCTTACAATTCAATCAGACGCTGGGTAGCCTATATTGTATTATTATACTATTGTTACATTGTATGTATGTATATGTGTATGTATGTATATGTATATATATATATTAATATATGTATATTGTATATATACTATTGTACTATTATTGTATTCTCACTATTATTGTATTATTGGGTGTATATATTGTGTATGTACGATTACACTATTATTGTATTTCGATTATACTATTATGTTCTACGAACATACTACTATTACTATAACATCTTTATTATTATCTGTCGCTCATTTATAATTTCATAGCGTATTGTGTATAGCAACTATTTTGCAGTATTAGGACATTATTTCTCATATTATGGCTTCCGATATCTGTACAGTTATGTAAACACTTCTTTTATCCCTTATTTTTTAGTTGTTTTTTTTGTTTGTTTGTTTGTTTTTGTTTATTGTAATATATATTTTGGCCAGATGTAATGTTTAATTTTATGTACAATATTGTTATTCTCAAGGGACGTAGTCCCAGAATAAAGTTGATTCTTCTATCTATCTATCTATCTATCTATCTAACAATTAGTTCCAAACGCAAATAGCACAGAAACACATTTCTGGTGGTTCTAAAATTCTTGGCAAGTAGTTAATTCATATGATGACCTTATGAATTAAGTCACGATAACTAGCCCATTGAGAATACGATTAGTTTTTGTTTTAAACGTTTCCACGAGTATCAGAGATGACGGTAATACATTTTCGCCTGACAATTAATCCTTACTGATGGCATCTAGAAGATAAAACGTAGTGGCTGAAGTCATGAATCGTACGTAGAGCATGGCCTATGACGTGGTAATGTAACAGCCAATTAAATAAAAAGTAAACATAGTTCGGTATAAATAAAACATATTATGCAATTAGATGATAATATTTTAATTTGTTAAATTATAATTACACATATTGTTTAATGAAAGATATGTCTATTCTACCTGGTTTTCTATTATTTAAAAGTACTCCTAAATATATTTGTCTTTGAACTATTAACTATATGAAATGTTGGTTCAATATACAGTGAATATTAAATTCAGCAACACTTAAAAATCTTTAGTAATAGTTAATACTAGTTTTTCGTGGATTTTAGATTAATAATTAAGTGTTATTTGCATTTGATCTAGTGGTTTATATTAATTAATTTTAAAAAAAATTATTGATGGTCAATTTTACATAAGTTTAAAAGAATTGTTGGAAAATTAGGGGAAATATATAATCTAGGTCTGCACAAATGTTCATGTCAAATATATCAACAAATTACGGAATAAAAATTCAAAGAGAGTTAATAAATAAGGAATTACAAGATGCTGATCAGCCTTAAATTACTCGAAACTATTAAATTTTAACATACAATGTCTGTGAGTTTGACCAGCGATATTAAAGTTAAAAAAAAGCTTGTACTTTACCAACTGTTATGAAGTATTGTTTCTTGGTTAATGTTGTTGCTAGGTGATTCGGCCAATATCACGCTCAACCCTCAGGTTTTTTCTCCTTAGTAATTATTTCATTAATAGTACCCTGTTTATAGAGACTAATGTGTTGGGATGTTAGCTGTATAAACTGTGTAAAGGATAGGACCTAGGATACTACCTTGAGGAACACCAGCAAACTGAGAATAAAGAGATGAATAAGCATTGTTATGATTTACTTTGAAGAATCTGTCAGTAAGATAGGAACGGATAATGAGGAAGTATGTAGATGGTAGGGATTTACAGAGTTTGTACATAAGCCCCGGATGCCAGACGCTGTCAAACGCCTGTTCAAAGAAAGACTCCTGTGCGGTACATTCTGCGCTCCAATGCAGAGGAGACTACATCCACATGATGGCAGTGCTGAATAGGAATGAGATACAGGTGCTTTAAGATGAGTTTTTCCAGGATTTTGACCATAATGGGTAAAAGAGAGATAGGAAGGTAATATGATGGGTGTTCTGGCGGCTTTATGTATCATTTTGACAATGGATAGTTTCTAAGAGTCAGGAAAATATGTTGTTTGGAGTACAGCATTATATATATATATATAGGTGAGGAATAGTCCTTAAATGTGACAGAATTTAATAAAATTCAATAAATTAATTTTTAAAAAAATGTTATGAAGACACAAATTATTTTTCAGTACATTCAAGACTAAAAATGAGTTATGAGAAATATTATACCTGTTTGTTTAATCCTGAATATAGGAACCAAACTCTTTCAGATGAATGACTCATTGTTATCTATCATGACGATGTCCCACATTTTGTGGCGAAATATGGGTAAACAATAAAACATTACTTTGTTTTTAAAGTTACTTTGACTAATTCTCTAAAGATCCACATTAATGATATAATCTATATCTCAGTTTTTTAAACAATTTATCTCACAATTAATACATAAATATTGCTTAATTATTACATGAAATAGAGAAGTATAATTTTCTTTTTGAAGTCATTGTTAACGACCTCAAAATTCGGATAATTCTGTTGCTTAAAAAGTGAATGTTATGGAAAAGAAGAGGTCAGAACAATGAAGGTCACAAATAAGATTTTCACATTGGTGAAAAGTGCTATTGTGGTTAGGAGGAGCAAAAAAGTAAAACAATTTATATCAAATAAAGCCAAATCTGAGCACAGTATAATTTATTTTTTTAATAATAAAAGTGAAACAGACAAACACGAGTATTACGTTATTATGTTGTATATATTTATGTGAAAGAGATTTTTCAGTTCATTATGAGAAAAAAAAAAAAAAGGAAAAATCTGACTGACCAAAGGGAAATAAAAAAAAAAAAAAAAAAAAACACATGTAGGAGAAAATAGTTAGTGAGAATTTTTTACTAAATATTCAAGTATAAAACAAGTACATGCGAGCCGAACATTTCAATCTACTGCTGTTAAAATTGTTTAAGAGATTCATGTTAACCATTGGTTTCGAAAAATGATTGCCAGAAAATGTATTGCTTTTGATGTGATAAAGAAATTAGTTCCTATTGAATATATTATTAATTGATTTTCGGGTAAATTCAAATGAAAGTAAATCATCTAAAACAGAGAAGAATGAGGAATGTCATCAGAGAGACAAAATGATATTACAAATCTATAATAACATAAATTTATAATTAATAAATAATTATTGATATACATAGTTTTGTCTTTAAATAATAAACTTTAATATAATTAGGACAAATAATACGTAACAATAATTTTTGTTTCATATACAAACAATTATAATATACCCTACAATATTTGTACATAAAAATAAGTAACTAAAAACATAATACTAGGGTAATGCAAGTATATTAAGATATTATAAGGAGATAAAAATAATTTACATCATATTTAAACAGAAAAAAAAAAAATCATGACTTAATAATCAATGCATAAAGTTGATAAAAGAAAGAAAATCATTTTCAATTCATATAGTCACAGAATAAATAAATCACTTCATATTTTCAACAAATTAACTTAACTAATGTCATTGCTATACATAATAAAAATGATGATACTAAATATAATAATAATCAGACGATCAAATACAATATCCATATCGAAACATAACATAAATATCTGTAGCAGAACACATAACACGAGATTCCTTTCAGCTGATACAACCACAAAATTAAATTAAACTTTCCTTACTCCAGAGAATTCAGCATTAGAAGCTGCTTCAGGACTTTGGTTTGACTAGTCTCACGGATCTCTCCAGCAAGGAACATCTCATCAACGACTGTGTATACTTTGTAAAAATTGAAAACCTACAAAAAAAACAAAAACAAGATAAATGAAGAAGGGTTGCCAACAAAAAAAGGGAATGGTTTCAAACTTTCGACTAACTACTAAATAAAACTTGAATTTTTTGACATAAAATATGAAAGTGTAATTTGACCATACATGGCTCAAGTTGTTAATGTACGACAGTTACTGTCAAACTGCATAATTGGAGCCAATTTGTTTCTTCCACAGCTGGAAAAGATTTTCAACTCAAAAGAATACAAGTTTCATAAGACATCATCATTTTAAAAGTGTTGAACATGTCAAGTTTTGTAACTGCAAACTACGATTTACAGGCATTAGTTTTCTGTTAGCATTTAAAGAAAACTGTTTCAGAATCACATTAAAGGCTTTTAGAACATCTTGACAAATCACAATGCTTTCAGTTGTGTAAAAATTCAAAAGTGGCAATTTTGACATGAGTGATGAAGAACATGAAACATGGATGTGATCTACTATAATCGTATTCTCCACTTTTGTTTTACTTTCTAAAATAAATAAAGCCGATACAAACATTTTGCTAGGCTTCAATACTGGAATGGTGGTAGGTCTGTTGATCGATACAGGACAAATTGGATCTTGAAGATTTTGATGCGTGCAGCAAGACACGGATAGTTCCTCTGTGTTTTTAAGCGCAAAAACGTACTATTTTCAAGATAACGCAAGGCATAGGGTTCGTATCCATACAGCCTTACATTAATTGTGGTACTGGCATTGAATACATGTCTCATTTCATCAACTTGAGGTCTCTATGATCGAGAGAGGAGGAGTTTATATTATTTATTGATGGTGGTTTTGATCGGCATGCCATATCATCGTTAATTTTTCACCAAATCTCAAGATTGAGCCACCAATTTTGAAGGTTTTCTTCTCCTTCAGCCGGGTAAAATAGTCCAATCACCCCAAAAATTCAGGCAAACAAGTTATGAAAGAAAACAAACTTTATTTGCGAATAACTAAAAAATTACACACTTTTCCCTGGGTTATGCCCACGATTATATAAAAGATTACTAAATCCCCTACAAAAGGAAAAAAAAAAATCATCGAAATCGGACTATTTTTAGTATTATACAGCTTACTGAAATATGTGAACATATTGGTTCCAAACAAAAATGAAGATTTAAATTAATTTTTGTTTTCTTGGTCGATTATATGTATTGATAAAGTAATATTTGATTTCTTTATCTTTTGATACCTTGCATTATTTTCTTTTCTTATTAATTTGGCATTTGATAACAATATGCTGTGCGAATGTTTTTGCACGAGCCTACTAGTTTTGATTAAAATATTTATTTAACATTTTCTTTTTATAAAAAAAAACTTTGCTTTAAAATTTACACATCTCTTAAGTAATCAATTATAATACTAGTTGTATCAAATTATGACTGTTTTTTACTGTATCTTGGTTTTTACGGTATTTTGTATTAACACAAAACAAGTGATTGATTACTTATATATAATATATATCATTAAACTTTAAACCTTTCATTCTATTTCTTTACTCCCTATTTCACCATTTTCTGCAGAGGGGGAGGGAAGGAGGAGGGGTTGTTTTAAAAGTACAAACAAACCTTTTCTAACCAGAGTTGGAAGGTTGAGATTTATTCTGTGGGTCTTCCATAAAATACATTTTATCTACCACATCGGATTTGAACTAGTGGCGTTAGACTCAAAAAGGTAACATATTAATATTCAATTGATATCAACATTTAATTGAATTTGACAGTGAAGGTTAAACTTCAGTTAAAAAAATGCCAAACTTGAAGATAGTAATTTATCGCTATTAGTAACAGAAATGGATAACATAAAACTAATAATGGACAACATTTATTAAAGATGAATTTATAGTCTTTTTGAAGAAGTATTGAGAAATTTATTATGATCTATGAAATGTTTGTAATATTAGTATATAAATGATTAATGTGTAATGTTTGCCGTAATGTTGACCACTTTAACTTATTCCGTTATCTTTGAGTAAGAAACTCCAGGCTGATAATACTATGTATTCTTGCAATTCTTGTAAGTCATTTTTTTAAAATCATTTATTGTGTATTTATTTGATTGTGTTTTTAATATTTAAAATTGCTATACTTTTGGTTTATATTGTTCTACAGTTGTCTTTTCTTTCTTTTTTGTTTTATCATACATTGTTTATTTAATTTAACCTTTTTTTATAAAGAAAAAAATGAATATCTCTGATTTACTTTTATATTTGTGTAGCTATCCATTATTTATTTTTCTTTATGTAAAAATGTTTGTAATGAAGGCAGACCTCCTGTAATTGTAAATATTACAAAATACAGAATTTTTTCATTCATTCGCTCAAAAATGTTAAAACAGCAACACCAGCAAGCTTGGCTGCCATGGTCCAGAATATTTGAAATGATTTTTCATTTTCAATTCAAATTTGAAACTTTAAAGGACTCTAAGGCATTAAGGCATCTACTCTTCAGATGAGGTCCCAGTAGAACACTAGATTCTAACCTGACAGGTCCCAATGGTAAAAAGATCAGTTTAAATATGTACTTTTTGGCTACTAGCTAATTCCCATGACAGACTATTTTAATTCAATTATAAATCCTTTACCCATTTTCTGGCATATGCTTACCATGAGTATTTTAAAAGTGTCTATGTAAAAACTAATATTTTCAATTTTACCTCTTTTAAAAAATATTTTAATACTTTTTTTAATCCACTTTATCTATTTCATTCATTAATTTTCAAGGAACATTTTAATGGATACAAATAATTAACCAAGGATACTGTGGTAATAATATTTAATTTTAGTATTTACTATTTAAGGTCAAAATTGTCAGTTTGGTAACACACTGACACCTCCTTATTTCATTATTGATGACTTTTAGTTTAAAATCTGCAGGGTATCACGAAATTAATCCAATTAGCTGTCTTACTGATAGTCATAAAAATTGAGTAAATCAGCACTATTATTTGTAATTTGATTTATAAAGAAAAGAATTACAATTTAAATCAATCAAATTTAAGATTATTACATATTGATTTATATTATATAGTTTATATAATTTATATTATAGATAAATATTACATAGTGATTTTGAATAGGGGCGCGAAGGCAATGGCGTCACGAACTACTGTTGAAAATGGACAAAGACAGATGGAAGGGGAAGCAAGTGCCCTATGTTAGGCAGAAGATAAACAGCCAGCTAGTAAAGATGAAATAGACCACAAATAGTGACATGTGACCAACAAGTAGTGAGAGTCAATAAAGAAGAACAAGAGAAGGTTATAGAAGTTGGATAAAATAATACAGATGAAGATTCATTGCAAAGCAGGGTGAGTGAAATATAAACAGTTACATTTGGAAAGTGCGTTAAGAGTAGACCAAGACAAACGATGGAAATTCATAACAATGTTATGTTCTATTATTGTATAATTGAGGATGTGTGTTTGTTGTCTCAACCCAACCTGAGAAATAATTATTGTTTAAAATAAATATAATTTGATTCAGAAACTGTTTTTTTTTTCTTTTTAAAGAAAAACGTAACCTTACAATATATATAGCACCAAAAAATGGTTAAAGATTGTTTATTACATCTTTAAGGACAAAAGTGCTACAATTTTTTTTTTTTTTTTAAGGCAACAAGGGTGTCGTGAAAAATTGTCAGCTCTGGGCACTGAAACAAAACGAGTTTGAGGATTGCAGTTTTAGTGCATGTAAAGAGTAATATAGGTTCATCAGAGAGAAAATGAACATAAACCAGAAATCAGACAGATTATTTTCTCATATTGAATGAAAAATTAATTTTATTCTGGGACCCTTTGAATAATAACAGAGTTTAGAAAATATATACTTCAGTGTATATGATACAGATATATACATACATATATATATATATATGTATGTATATATCTATATATATATATATATATATATATATATATATACTTCTACAGCATGTGTATATGATACAGATATATACAAAAATACAGAGAGAAAAATAAAAAGGCTCCTATCATTTATCTATTGGTGAGCAACTCTATTTACATAGCCTAAAAATTCTTATATGCTGGCAGAAGTTTGAATGTGTAGTAGGTGGTGGAATAGGAGTTTTTTGAAGGAATTCGTGGACGTGGTTTGGCCTATGGAGATAGGTAAGGAGTCCTAGGATGTAAGAATTTTTTGATTCTGAGGACTTGGATAACGAAAACACCAAGAAGAAATGCCGTCGGGAAGTAGGATAAAGCCACTTCAATTCGGTGTATAGAGAGAAAACATGGGTACGGCTGGGAATCCCAAAGATGAATCTTATAAAGCAATTCATGAGTCTTTTTAGTCTTGTAGATAGCTCTTCATAAACCAAGCAACCGTAGTCAAAGTGACGAAGAATAAGGGATATTATAAGAAGCTGTCTGGTTGTTTTTGGAATAAAAACACGAAATCGTAGGAATAGGAGCGGTTCTAATCAAAGATTAACCATAGGTATTGATTGTCGGAGAGAAATGGATGGAGCTGTTATTGAGGTAAAGTAGAAGAGAGAAAGGTAGGAATTCTGTATCAATACCTATCCCATGAGATGTTATGTCACTAGTGTTAACTGAATATACCGAACAGACAAATTATACATCAAAGAAATAGGAAAATTTCAGAATTCATTAATGGAAACTCAGATTGAAAAGCTGCAATGTATTTAATGGTTCCAAAAAACAAATTAAAATCTGAAAAAATTGAAATTATAATTATAAAGGCTACTTACAATAGTTAGTTTAGATCTTAATACATTTTAATAAATGAATGATTGAGATTACCAAATAGGTTAAGAAGAAACTATTTTTGCAGTTCTTAATAGCAACTTCATACAAATAATATAAGACAATTTTTTTTCTTAATTATATGAAAAAATATAAATACTTACCAGATCTAACTCACAAACATTATGGAAATATTCATTAAGGACTTCCACAAAGTTATGTATTGCTTCAAGGTAACACAAATTATTGTCATTGACATCAACACAAATGCAAAAATATAGTCCTGCATAACGCCTATAAACGATCTTGAAGTTACGAAATTCAACGAAGTTGGTATGTTTGGCATCTCTAACAGTGACTACTGCATGCACCTGCAGAATGTAGGAAAAAAAAAAATATATGAACTGTATATACTGTTTAAAATATAGGTTTATTGCAATTTAAAACAAATTGATAAGATTTAAAATTTAATGAAAGTAATTTTATTTAAGAAATGTGTGATTTTCAGTATTTCAACACTATGGATGTCTATTCTACTGGGTTATTAATTTTAAGAGCCTGCTATATGCAGAATAGTCCTCTTTTCCACCTCTCAGCAGCGAAGGATTTTTAGAAACGAGGTGTCAAAAGATACCGAATTTCATGAAGAAATAACGAATCCCAATTCGAGAGATATAATTGACCTACATTAAAAATGTTAGTACTCAATGGACACAGAATATAAAGTTCTATAATTTTGATTGTGAGGTTTTACTTATTTGACACACAATAACATTCTTTAATTTCATTCAACGAGTTATAGCCGAAAAAAACTAAACAAAATATCGCTTTTTTGGCAGAAATGAGTTTTCCCTTGGTTGCTTTTGTTAGTAATTTTGGTGATTACATGTTTGAACCCATACATACAAGTTAAAAAAATTAAAACTTTTCTCACATTTTTAGCAATATTTCCTGTTTTGATCCTCTAGTTACTGACCTATTATTCTTTAAATCTATGAAAGCAGTGCCTCTGGAATAGAATCAAGCTTCATTTTACTTAGAATAACAAACACTTTCGAAATTTATATTCAAACCTTCACCTGCGATGAAGTCTCTTTTTAGGCCCTGCCTCCAGGGCTATAAATATAACAAATAATTTGTTCTTTTAATGATAGCTTACACATTTATTTGTGCATATGTGGAGTTATAAAAACGTTTTTCTATTTCAACAACTACTGCTTTTTACACAGAACATTATATCTGCTCCAAATCATGGATGAGTATATATAGTTTCCTTAGATTTTAATTTGGACAAATATTTGTAATTTATGAAGATATAAATTATAAATACTATGTACTACTTAACAAGTTTTGCTCCACTTTGATAAGTGCGTAAAAAATTTAATGAAAGAACTTATAAATGGAATTCTGAGAATGGCTGGGTGTCTCTAAAAGTAAAAACAGGTAACCAAACCATGTGGTAAGGCTCCAAACGCAACTGAAAAGAACCTACTGGAGGTTTGTTTATCTCTTTTAAACAAGTATAATGAGCTGAAGTTGAACGCAGTGATGATATCAATGCTAATGAAGAGACCGAATAGCACAAGTTGGAAGCTTGTAGGTAAGTAATAATCGTGTATTAGATAAAGGGAGGTTATATCAGTAAAGAGGACAATGCTCAGTCATTCTTGGAATTCCATTTACAGTGTGATCAATGGATCTTGGACACTTCCTCCAAAGTGGAGCTACACTTGCACAGTAGTATCTGAAATAGTGTAGCTCAAAACTAAAAAACTCTGGGTTAGACTTAAATTTATCATTGATTTGATGTTTATGACTACACTGTTTTGAAACATAAATTGAAGTTTCACAGTCTCAGATGAATATCAAACCCTTACTAATTCAATTCAAATGCATCTAATGCTCCTTGGGTGTAATACTATGCTACTATACTATCTTAAGAATAAGAGTGGATAAAATAAATAATATAGACAATCTTACCTCTTCAATAAGCTTTTGTTTCTCATCATCATCAAAATTCATATACCATTTTGCAAGACGTGTCTTTCCAGCCCTATTTTGAATAAGAATGAATCGAATCATCGTAGAATCTATTCAGAAAATGGAATAAAACCACCTGTTAATATACATGAGAACAATACCTTTTTCTTAGATTATTTCTTATGTTAAAATTTTAAATATTTCAATAGAAACCGAAATAAATTTGAAAATAAACTGATTAGTAAAATATAATAAATAAACTGTCATAAAATATTTCTTATACTTAAGTATAGATTCACTTAAAATTGATATTATATACAAAATATGAAATAAAAATATTCAGTTCAAAAACATTGAGGAAATCTATATAAACTATGACAAAGTATCATAGGACAGAAAAAGAAAGTTGAAATAGTTTCACAACTAATCTGAAAACTAGGTACAAATAAAAAATAAAAGCTAAAATTAATTATTTAGAAAAAGTTTCAAATATTAGATTAAATTAATTACTTCCAAGCTATTTCAATCTAGAAGGATATACACTGAAAGAGGAAAATGTGAATCAAATAAATGTTTCAACTTAGATAAAAATGATAACTTAGTATTTCACCAGCGCTATACTTGTTTTTAACAAAAATTAGATGGAAGAAACAACCCAAAATTTACTGAAATAGGAAATCCCATTGAGAGTAGAGGAAATCCTGCTAGTTGAAAAAATAACATCTTAAGACCTTGTTTTTTTAGTTTACTACATTAAAAAAATATTCTACACAAATCTTCAAAATAAGATAAACTTAAGGCAGTTAAAACCTCTAGAAAACTTGACATAAATTAAAACCAAATGAGGAAAATACTTACCTACTTTCAACTGAAATAAAATTTCATAACACAACAGGACAACAGTGGAACTGAAACGATCGGTTATAACATGGGCGGTAACCTCCCACTGATAACTCTAATCAAATATTTTAAATTACCTCCCAAGACACCTTAAAATTTGTATTCAGATTTATAAAATAAAATATTATTTAATTGCATTCATTAAATTCATCGATATTTTTGGTTGATAAATATTGTCAACTTTTACGTTATCTAATAATAAATTACTACTACATTTGAATCATTTTCTAAAGAAACTTCACTGATTCTTGGCATCAAATCCATGGATCCTTACAGATCTCAGCAATTAGTTCATTGCTAGGTATTGGAAATCCATCAGGATGTTCGTAAACTCATCGATGAAACAGTGGATAAGTTTCTGAACTTAACACTGAGATCATTGATGAGTATCGAAAATAAATACATCAATGAATTACCACTGCTTTTAGGAATTTGTTCGTTCGTTTGCAATTTCCTCCAAAATGAATACAGAGATTTGCGGGAAGGGAGCATTTACTTATTGCAAGAACTGGTATGAAGGGCAAGTTCCTAAACTCAACGCTAACCCATTGATGAATTTCCGATACTCATAGTGTTCTCATTGCTGAATTAGGGTAATTCCCCGAATTGGCAGCACCAGGGTTTGACAATTTTATAAAGCGTTTTCAAAAGTTCCATTTCAGCAATTTCAAATAGGGTCATTTGAGAAAAAAATGTAATAAAAGTTCTAAAGAAAAAAGTTTTCTAAGTGTTTCATGTAACTTTTTATAATTTATGTATTAAAAAGAAGTTACGTAAAATGAGAAAGTAACAATAAATAGGCTTACAAATCAAATTATCATGAATAAATTGCCTGATTCGTATATTAAGAATTGATGGCATAATTATAGTTGTTTATATTTATATTTTGGTGAAATGAATCGCTTTAACAGAATTTTTTTTTTTTTTAATCTTATTTATTGAAAAATATTACAATCTGTCTCAAGGACATTTATAATAGTGTTCACAGATCACATTCACACTCTATGTACAGTAAATAAAATAAATTATACAGAAATAATATATTTAACAGAATTAAAAAAAAAAAAAATATTTGAGTTAAAAAAAAAAAACATGACTACAGAAGTTTGGTAAATAAGGAAGTATATTTCCTTAGGCTTGATAAAATTACCCAATTTCTGTAGTCGGTTTTTTTTTTTATTTTTTTAAACTCAAATATTTTTTAAAAGTTCTGTTAATGCGAATAATTTTACCAAAATTAAATGCTACCGTTCCGCAACTCTCTGTAAACATTTTTGGAAGAAATTTTAAGTGAAAACGAAGCGCTGAGTTTTTTTTTTTTTTTTTTTTTTCAGATTTTCTATACATATTTCTATACAATAAAATTTAAAATCAAGTTTGTAAAAACCGATTAACCGTTCATTCCTCATGAGGATTTCCACTTTGTTGATGAATACTTTTTAACGGAAATTCCAAGGTTGGAAGGGTAAAAAATGGAAACGATTTTTATCAATCAAAGCCTAATCTAAGTTTAATCTTTTTTAAAAAAATAATGTAAGTAAAATAAACATAAACGCGTAGTTATATATAATATTACATATTATTTTGTATATATCTGGGTGGAAGGGATTTATAAGTTCGTTCTGAGGGAAATTAAAAATAAAATACGAATTTAAATAGAAAATGAATTTTTCTGCTAATGAAACAAATCAAACAAACTTACAGTTCAATATAAGTTTTTCCTTGAAGGAAATAACGTCCTCGCCAAATGGAATCAGAATTATTTCTGACGCACCTGATAATAACGCTATCGGTCTATCAGGAAAGTAAGATACATCCTTCTTGGTGATTTTCCTCCACTACTTTCTTCAGTGAGTTGAAAGAAGTCTCCTGGTCAACAACTATCCTGTTTATTTGGTAAGTTAACAGTTCTTATTAATACATGTATTAACAGTAGAAAGGATTAGAATCGGCGGATGTTATTTTTCTCGACAAAAATAATAGAATTGTTCAAGAATAATGCATTTTTGAAGATTTAAAGGACATTGGAGAAGATGAGGGTGCATTATAAATGTAATTAAGATACTTTTTACTGCCTACCGCAGCGACTGCTGGCAGTTCACAGCACAGTTTACTTACATTTTGATGGATTTTTAAATTTTTGAGGTGGCACATTTCGACGGGGTTGAATTTTCGCCGGGAGACAGGGGACCAACACGAACGAGACCAGAACAAGTGTAATTGTAAATGATCTGCATTTTCTCTAATTCTTCTTCCACTTGCATGGTTTTTAAGAACAGGCGTGCATTAAAATTTCTTGGAAAGAAAAGGGAGGAGAATTGTGAACCATCAACTTTCCTCTAAAATCCCTTCCTCCCTCGAATGGGCACCCTTGGACAACAGAAAGGAGTTTATTTCGTTGTCACTGCTGGGCAGTCCAGATATGATAACATATCCAGACTGCTTCTTTCTGACCTTTCCAGAAGGAATTAAGCTGTTGTCTAACTGTTGTCTAGCTGGTTTTAAGTTCTGTTGTCTAATTGGAGAAGAGTGTTGATGATGACAGACATATTGCTATGTTTCATTTCTTTTTTTTTTTTCATTAAGTCAAAGATAAATTAAATGAAAAATTGTTTATAAACTTTAAACAAATCATTTTTTAGGTTGAGACATAAGGTTATTTAGGTATTAAAAGGAGTATTTTATAGAGTTGAAGGAAATAAAGATTGTTACTAACAGAACTATGCTCATAGATTTTTTTTTTTTTTTTTTGGCTATAATCTAAGAGTATTTGGTTGAAAAGTAACATCTTTTCTTGTGCTAAACAAATATGAAAGAGCTGAAACTTTGAAGTGGTCAACTGTTCAAAGCATTTATTGCTCTATTGTATTTATTACGTCTGAGATTTACTGCTGTTTATGTTTAAAAACAAATTAACCAATATTTTTTCCGAGTATTATAAGAAATGCATACTGTTATGTACTAATTTATTTTTTTATAATTATTAACAGGTCATCATAACAACAAGGACGAACGAAAATGCCTGATATTTCATCTTATATAAAAATCAATGAAAAAAATATAAGTGAAGGTGTGACATCTGGTACCCTACGTAAAGATCCTAAGCCCGATAGGTAAGAGTGATTATTATTATTATATATATGAATGTATGTATATATGTATATATATTATTAAATATATTAATTCGCATGTTTTTCTCTTTAGGAAGCTATACTAATATTTTTTATGTTCTCTTATTACAGCCACAACTGTGAGTAATTCTTGAATCGTTAAGAATATTTGGTAATCTTGTAAAGTTACCAATCATGTATTTGTGTGCGTATGTCTCAATGACCGGCCATTTTTTAAAAGTTTATGTATAACATAATTTCCTATTTATGAAAAAAAAATTATTACTGCGTGGTACAGACCCATTTTTATCAAATTATTAACATTCACCTGAAACTTCGTGAATAGATTCATCTCATCGTAACCTACAACTATTTTATTTACGAAAACTCTTGGAATTGGAGCGTTTTCAATCTGGGGATCGCAAACTTTGTCTATTTCATTAGGTATTAATAACTGGTAAATACCCATTTGCTTTCCACTTCAATAGTAAGATAATTTGAGCACGAAATCGAGAAAAAAGGTGGCCTAAATAAATATTGGGCCGTTTGGCCTATATAATATACTTCGTTATTTTGGGGATGTAGATCACATCAAATAGCTCAATATTTTTGAAGGCTACCTTTTACCTAATTTTGTGTTGAAATTATCTTATGATTGAAGTGAAAAGGTAATGAATATTTACGAGCTATTAGTTCCTTATTAAATAGAAAAAATAGCCGCTCCCTAAGTTGAAAACGCCCCAATTCCAGGAGTTTTCTTAAATAAAATAGTTGTAGGTTACGATGGGATGAAGCTATTCACGAGGTTTCAGATGGATGTTAATAATTTGATAAAAAGAGCTCTGTACAACGGACTATATTTTCCGTTTAAAGGAACAAATTATTTTAATTTATTTACACAATTGGCAGATTGCATTAATACTCAACAAAAACTCATTAATAAAAAAAAAATTACAAAATGATTGCTTTTTACCTACCTATACTAGGTAAGGAAAGTATTGCAATCGGGTCAAATTTCCGACATGCGGCTTTCGACGGATCTATCCGTTTCAGAGGCACCCTGAGTCCGAAAAACACATTTTTAGCCATTGGTCTGTCAGTCTGTGCCAAGATTTTCTCAGGAACTATTGAACCGATTTTGTTGGTTCTTTTTTTATTTTGTAGGGTATTGCCTACTGATGCCTGTGACAGAAATTCGGTGCTCCATGCGCGCAATAAATGAAAAACATGTTTTTCTATAGACTGTAGCGCAAAAACGGCTCTAACGATTTCGATGAAACTTTCCTGTAATGTCCTAATCATTGTTTTTTCAATTTTCGTATATAGACTAAATTCCCGAAAAAAATCAGGGGAAAAAGTTATAAAGAAAAGAAAAATGTTATTGGGCCTAACTCCCTAAGTATATATTATACGGTAAAATTTATAATAAAACTTTTGAAAGGTAATTAAATTACCAACAAAACAAAACAAAAAAAAAATCATCGGAATCGAACCAGTATAAGCAATGATACAGCTTATTCTATTTTTTACACATTTTTTTTAACTTATTACTATACAATTTATTTTATTTTATTGTATTTATTTTTATTTTATTCATTGTATTTATTATTATTAAGTTTCTGTATTATTATTTTTTTTTTTTTTTTATTGTAAATAGAGTGTGAGTGTGCTTTCTCTGAACACTATTATAAATGTCCTTGATGTGACAGAATGTAATATTTCTAAATAAACAAATAAAAAAAAAATTACTATACTAGGTAAGGAAAGTATTGCAATCGGGTCAAATTTCCGACATGCGGCTTTCGACGGATCTATCCGTTTCAGAGCCCCCTGATTTTGATGCTTCTTTTTTACATTGCTTTAGTTTATCCAATAAATCGTACTCAAATCTTATGTTTGATCAATTTTCAGGAAAATGTGTCTAGTTCAATTATTTTTGTTTCTTCATGAACATAAGTAAAGATATAAAAACTTTTCTGAAATAGGTAGGAAAGTCGTGTGATTGGACACACCAGATATTTTTGCAATTAAAAAGTAATTACGTATTATCTCGGTAATATTTAAAATTTCAATACTGTTTCAGTAAATGTTGCAAAGGAGTGCTTCTATTTGGGATGGTTCTGCTAGCTTGGTTGGCGGCAGGAGCAGTTTGTTTATATTACATGATATTGGTTGCGAGGCAACCACGTGGTCTCCCAGGTTTGGTCGAAGTGTGGGAGCATTACAAAGTTAGTGGTAATTTCGTACAACGATCTATTTTTAATAAGTCAGAAATTTATTCAGAAGTAATATATAAACATAAATGTATTAATATATATCTCTGTGTATACCTTTAGACCGTGCATGGAAAGAACTACTCTCAGAAAGAGGATGAGGAGCGAGTAGGCATATTTCTAGAAAGTATGAAGGAGATAGAATACCATAACGAACTCTTCGAAATGGGATTAAGGTCTTATAAAAAACAAATAAACAAGTTCTCGGATTATGTAAGACAATTTTTTTTCTGTTTTCATAGTTTAATGATTTTATTTATTCCATGATTTTTGAAATGTTACTGTCTCATTTGTTTTATTACTATTAAGAAAAATTTTAATTATTCCAAACAAACATGATATTAATACCTGATGTGTTGCTATTTTGAACGTAGACTCCTGATGAATTGGATGGAATGAAATGTTTCCGAGGAGAGGTTGAAATCTCCCTTCCTGAAGACTCGTTTTCTTTCAGTGAAGGCGCGTCCTATCCAGAGAGCTTCGACTGGAGGTCAAGAGGTGCAGTGAATAGAGTCAAGGACCAAGGACAGTGTGGTTCTTGTTACGCATTTTCTGCTGTGAGTTTCCCAACATTATTACATTTTTTTTTAAATTCTATCAAATCGTTACTAAATCCTTTCAATTAATAGTATGATGTTGATTCACTGATTATAGAATAATAGTCCGAGGTACATACCCCTCTTTATCAAATTATTAACATCAGCCTGAATAGGCTCATTTCATCATAACTTACAACTATTTTATTTACGAAAACTCTTGGAATTTTGGGGCGTTTTAAATGTGGAGATCGATAATTTTGTATATTTAATTAGGTAATAAAAACTCATAAATACCCATTTGCTTTCCATTTGGATCGTAAGACAATGTGATCGAGAAAAAACAAAAAACACACAAAAAATCGAGATAAAACATAGCCTACAAAAATATTGGGTTGTTTGGCCTAAATTAGTAGGTATTTTAATATAATGTAGGTGTTATTTTCATTAATGTTCAATAACAAGACTTAAATACTTAATTTTCAAAATTACTTCCTCTAAAGTATCTTTCTTTGATTTAGTTTATTTTTTTTTTAAACTTTTATTATGATATTTACAACTGTATTAGTATGAATACATCAAGTAAATGTGTACAGAGGAATAAAATAACATGAAAAACGCTTGTTGAGAAACTACCCATTGGTAGCACCCTTAGTTTATTTTAAATAATAAATTAACTCTTATTGTTATTAATAATGGTTAAATATATACTATAAAAGAATTTGATCATTGATTAAAGAAGAAAAACGGAAAAATGTTTTTTCGGGCTGAAAACTGATTTCCGAAAATAAGAGTGAGAAAATATATATTACAATGTATCATTGGGAAGCATTAAGGAGAAAAACAATATTACATATATAAACTCGTAAAAGATAATGGAGAGTTAAGAAAAAATTACAATCTAAAAAAAATGTTACAATATATTTCATAATTTGTCTAAAAATATAATATTTAATACATATTACTAATTTAAGTATTACATATACATTTTTTACGTACTATTTGTATGTAAATACTGACTTATATAAAGATTTAGAACAAAAGAATAACGAAAAATTTGAAAGTTCACTTTTTTGTAGAATCTCTGAATTAGTATTCACAAATATATAATTGCTCTACCTTTTGAACGGTTGATGATAATTTTTTTTTTTGTTTATTGAGTAGTACATAAAACAATCTATCACATTAAAGGGCAATAAGTATTGTATTTCAGTGCGTATTTTCCAACAGCGTCACTGTTATTGGAAGCCAGTGGAGACTGAAGGAAGACACGAGAGTCATTGACAATAAGAACTTGAATGGAGTTACAGTTATACAATTTGAGCAACCAGTAGTATAATTAAATTGGCAAAAAATACCACTATAGGCTCACTTGCCGGACTACTTCTCCCACCAGTACCAGTACCAGTGCCAGTACAATTAAATGAATAGTTGTATAATTTATGAAATGAGGATAAGTTCGCCGCTAGGCTTACAGAGGTTACCCGTTAGTTTATTTTTACTTTTGATAAGAACTCCAAAAGTAAGTATATTTTATTTGTGAGGATTATGGAAGCGCCTAATAGATGGCAGAAGATACTCCGGGAGGATACAATTGAAGCATGGAACCGGCGGTGGATAGCAACTCCTAAAGGAAGTTCATTGAGGAAGTACTTTCCCACAGTACAGTCGAGGCTTCAGGCAAAGTGGGTCCTCCCGGACTACTGGATTTCCCAGTTCCTCACTGGGCATGGAGGATTTGGAACTAAACTTCACGGTCTGGGCATTTACACGGTGGGCCAGACCCCCTTACCGTGCACCCCCCCCACATCCCTATAAATTGCATATCGTTGTGTTCCTTGTGACAATTTATTAAAAAAAAGCCAATGTTCCCACAAAAAAAAGTGAACGAACTGCCCCAAAATGGCGTCCAAACATGGCGGATTGACGACTTTGACTTTAGTTAGTTTTTTTGTTACTGAGAATCTGCATTTGGCTTAATTTCATTATATTTGTTCTTTTATTAAACCTGGATAGTCAGAGAATAATAAAACATGAAAAAATATTAAAAACTAATTGGCTTAGGCATTAAAAAAAATCGGTAAAGTCAATCTTTTTTACAAAAAAATTTTCAAGTTGAAAATCAAGCGTCGTTTGTAATTAAACGGTCAACAATAATGCAAAACGTGCTGAAATAAAACATCTGGAGAATACATTTCTCTTTCTAAAACACTGATTACTTTTTAAAATATTTGAAGTAGTTCCGTATAAAATGTACTTAAGCGGCAGAAAAGCGCTATTGGCGTGGGTGCCTCAGGCCTCTACCACACCACTCAGTACTCATAAATGGCTTAGTTATAGTGCTATAATAACGTTTTTGTTATATTTTATTGATTATATTGACGAACAAATATTAATACAATAATTTAATTGTAAAAAATTATTTTTTTTAAATTTATTATTTTTGTTTTTATTTTTCATTATTATTTTTTTTTTAATTTAACTTCATTTATTCTATACGGAGATCGCTTAAGAAGGCCTCTATTATAAAAATTATAAAATTATAATAATAAAACTTAATTCAAAAATACTTTGCAGAATATCTTGATTTTTGTATTTAATATTTGCAATTTAACATTTTGTTTTATATATTTATTGATTCTTAGAGGTAATTTAAATTGTATATACTTCCCCGGAAATGAGTCATATTAATATCTGTTTTATAAACTAAAATAATATATACCTAATCTGAACTGCTTTTAATGAATAGGTGATGGATTGTTTAGTAAAATTGTTATATCGCTATTAAAAAAACCATTTTTATTTCCTTTATTTTATTCGGAAGTTGGACCATATCATAAAAAGTTGGAACTTTTAATATTAAAGTGCATCATTATTCCCTCTGCACAAAAGAAATATGGAAAGGGCGAAGCTATAAGTTCTTCTAGGTAACTGGAACTGATTGTTAGTATTTGGTCTCAAAATGAGGGAAATTGAACCCAAACATTGGAAAAATACATTAAGCGAACGACAGTGCCAAAATTTCGGAAAAGAAAACAAGGATCAGTATCCATTATATGGCTAAACGAATATATAGTAGACAGATGAACAGAATATTTCAAGATGCTGCTAAAAGGGGGTAAAAATGCTTGATGGGTTTGGATGATGTTAAGCAGGTTTATTATGGTGAAGAACACTTTATCAGCAAGAAAGATTTGCTCTAAGCAATTGGCAAGCAGGTCTGGAGGAAGTAAACGAGGTTGATAATGGTGTAAACCACTTTATTTTAGATTGTTACTGAAGTTGCACATTGGGGATATCTTCACTTTGAAGCAGGTTATACAGAGGTCTATCGATAAAAGGAAATAGCTCTGCTCCTGTTTAGTGCAATTGCAAAAGATTATTGAAGGAATCTGAAAGGAAAACGAGCTTTTGTGAAAGACTAGTAGATCTTCGATCAATCCAAAGTGTGAGGCACTAAGCAGATAGAAAACCATTTTTCTTTCTCTGTGGACTTCTCTATAACCTACCTTAAAATGAAGACAGTCCCAATTTGCAACTTATGTTCCAATGTGAAACTTGAGTTTCTCAATCCATATCGCTCAGGCAATCGACAATATTTCTAATTTTAGCTTATACGATTCTTGAGTAGACTTTCTTTGGTACTATAAACAGTAAGGAATCTCGAATAACATTTCCTAGTATCTCTTTCCTGTAATGGGACAAAACTACAGTCCTTTCATATAATTTTCTAATACATTTGTGGCCTTTGTACGCACAGCATTTCGGATTACTTCGTCCAGACCAGCTGACTTGCCAATTGCCTAGAACAAATCTTTCTTGCTGATGAAATGGTCTTCACCATAATAAACCTCCTTAATATCATCCAAACTGATCAAGCATTTTTACCCCCTTTTAGCAGAATCTTGAAATATTCTGTTCATCTGTCTACTATATATTCGTTTAGCCATATAATGGATACTGATCCTTGTTTTCTTTTCCGAAATTTTGGCACTGTCGTTCGCTTAATGTATTTTTCCAATGTTTGGGTTCAATTTCCCTCATTTTGAGACCAAATACTAACAATCAGTCCCAGTTTCCTAGAAGAACTTATAGCTTCGCCCTTTCCATATTTCTTTTGTGCAGAGGGAATAATGATGCACTTTAATATTAAAAGTTCCAACTTTTTATGATATGGTCCAACTTCCGAATAAAATAAAGGAAATAAAAATGGTTTTTTTAATAGCGATATAACAATTTTACTAAACAATCCATCACCTATTCATTAAAAGCAGTTCAGATTAGGTATATATTATTTTAGTTTATAAAACAGATATTAATATGACTCATTTCCGGGGAAGTATATACAATTTAAATTACCTCTAAGAATCAATAAATATATAAAACAAAATGTTAAATTGCAAATATTAAATACAAAAATCAAGATATTCTGCAAAGTATTTTTGAATTATGTTTTATTATTATAATTTTATAATTTTTATAATAGAGGCCTTCTTAAGCGATCTCCGTATAGAATAAATGAAGTTAAATTAAAAAAAAAATAATAATGAAAAATAAAAACAAAAATAATAAATTTTAAAAAAATAATTTTTTACAATTAAATTATTGTATTAATATTTGTTCGTTAATATAATCAATAAAATATAACAAAAACGTTATTATAGCACTATAACTAAGCCATTTATGAGTACTGAGTGGTGTGGTAGAGGCCTGTAGGCACCCACGCCAGTAGCGCTTTTCTGCCGCTTAAGTACATTTTATACGGAACTACTTCAAATATTTTAAAAAGTAATCAGTGTTTTAGAAAGAGAAATGTATTCTCCAGATGTTTTATTTCAGCACGTTTTGCATTATTGTTGACCATTTAATTACAAACGACGCTTGATTTTCAACTTGAAAATTTTTTTTAAAAAAAATTGACTTTACCGATTTTTTTTAATGCCTAAGCCAATTAGTTTTTAATATTTTTTCATGTTTTATTATTCTCTGACTATCCAGCTTTAATAAAAGACCAATTATAATGAAATTAAGCCAAATGCTGATTCTCAGTAACAAAAAAACTAACTAAAGTCAAAGTCGTCAATCCGCCATGTTTGGACGCCATTTTGGGGCAGTTCGTTCACTTTTTTTTGTGGGAACATTGGCTTTTTTTTAATAAATTGTCACAAGGAACACAACGATATGCAATTTATAGGGATGTGGGGGGGGTGCACGGTAAGGGGGTCTGGCCCACAGACTAATTGATGTAGATCCTCTGTGCCCAATCTGTGGTGTTCCGGAAACTGTAGAGCACGTGGTCACGACCTGCACGGCATTTGAAACGTTAAGAGCGACAATGACAAGAGCCGTGGGAATCTATGTCCTCACTGAAAATGAGTTTCCTCAGTTAGTCAGCGAGGAGAATTTCCCGCGGTGTAAGGATTTCATATATGGATGGAAGGCGGTGGTGGGGCCCACTCTATATTGGTGCCCGCAGAAGAAGAGGACAAGAGCCAGGAAGACCTCCAGATTCTGGAAGCTAGGCCGAAACAAGAAGAATAAAGAACAGAAGAACTGCTAGATGTGTGCACATCATGTTAACTTGTAGTAGTGGGTTATTAAGCATTCATGCATAACAACACAATTATCGCAAACACCCGTATTGCCATAGTAGCATGGCATAAATGTATTTATTTATAATCCAAAAACATTCTCCTAGCGTATTGTTATGTTTGTGTTACTGTTTTGTTTATATTACTTTAGTGTAATAATAATGTTTATATTCTCTCATTTGAAGGTTCCACATTTTATCTTCTATTACTTACATTGTTTTATCTATACTAGTGTTCGCCCAGTGGTCGAAATTCGACCATAGCCATTAAAATTTTGAGGTCATTTAAAATTATTTATAAGTAATACAAAATATACTCATTCAAAAATATTAAATTTTCATTTTAATTTATGTGTGTTCTTATCACAATAAATTAATGTTATAATTAAGCAAGTAAAAGATAAATTTAAATTAGCAATTTAAATTCACTTTAAATCCATTAGTATTCAGAAATTCTATGTAAAGTAATGTTCTGATATTGTTTACTGCATAGCCATGCCCATTGCCATTGAAAATATAAATTTCAATATTTTAAATGAACGTGCTCTAATTGCTGCCACATATAAATGTTTCAAGGGGAAGACTTTAGCCAAGTTTCATTGAAATCGTTGAAGCCGTATTGGCGCTACAGTCGAAAGCGAATCACGTTTTTCGGCTTCCTTTTCGAAAGGAAAGGCCTGATGATATTGAAACGTATACAAAAAAAACTTCTAAATATTATTGCGACGTTGTGTAAAAATTTAAAAGAATTCGGTGAAGAACTTTCGGAGATACGCCATTTTGAATAAACTACCATTTATATTTTTATTCACATATTATTTAGTATTTTTATTTATTGATAAGACTAAAGCTCGTCAATATCTATTAAACAAAAAAAGAATGAAGAAAATTCGGTTGAATAATAGAGGAGTAAAAGGGGCTGAACTGAATTGTGTTTGCCTATTTATATAATGATTTCTATTTGTTACATATATTTTTTAGACCTGATGATGCCACACATGCTTCGGTCAAAACGTTGGCAAACACTGGTAATGATAGCATATCCTGACTATTTTCATCCTTATAATTTGTTTTTCTGTATAGATTGGCTCATTGGAGGCACAGCATTTTATTAAGACTGGGAAATTAGTTTCCCTCAGCGAACAGAACATAGTGGACTGCTCTCGACCACAAGGCAACTACGGCTGCGATGGAGGGTACATGATTAGCTCTTTCCACTATATCTTCCAGAATAACGGAATAGACACCGAACTGGCATATGGATATGAAGCACTGGTAAACTTATTTCGCCAGTCATAATTATAATCTTTAATATCAACAACCATATTCAATATATATATATATATATATATATATATATATATATATGTGTGTGTATATATATGTATACACAAACACATGATTATAACATATACACATAGTTTAACAGTAACTTTATTTTTTGAATTTTAGTTTATTTCATTATTTTTTTTTTACTTTCACTTACCTGTATACGGAATTAAGGGAAAGTATTGCGATCGTGAAAATTATCGAATCTGAGTTTTATGTCAACAGAAATACATGTTTTGAGGTCCCCTTGAGTCCAAATAACCAAGTCCCGCAAAATGGTCTATGCGTCTGTGTGTGTATGTGAACAGCTCAAAAACGAAAAGTAGTACGACTGATATTACATATTTAAGATGCCACTTTATATCAACGGCGAAACACATTTTTATAATTTTCTCAAAAGGGGCTCTTACGATTTTGATTAAACTCATTGTATCATTGTATAATTAGGTGTTCTTTAACATCATTTAGGTCTTATCCCCATTGATGCCATTTTACAGGGCTTAAATGCCCAATGTTGATATACGTCTTCCTCTAAAGTACCTTTAATCTGAACTATTTAAAAAAATAAACTCTCTTTTATTGATAGTAACTATAAAAAATGGCTAAATATGAAGTTTGAAAGAATATGATAATTAGAAACTGGAGAAAAATAGATAAATGCTTATCTAGGTTGAAAATGAATCTCCGGCAATAACAGTCAGAAAGTATTTGTATAATATATCGTTGGAAAGCGGAGAATCTCAGAAAAAATAATATCAAATAAAGAAAGTTGTTGAAGGTAACGGAGAGTGACAAAAACAATTTAAATAATAATTTCAGAAAACTAACATTATTTAACGTAAATCACATGTTTCCAAGGAAATTAAATGAATTTTTCTTACTAAATGTGAACTTTTAAATTTATTTCTAAGTTTGAGAAAAAAGTGTTTAAAATCCACCAAATCAAGCCAATGCCTTTGTTTAAAATACTTGTGTGAAAGAAGTAGTGAAATATTTCATGAATATGTTTATAACCTTAAATACATTTACTGTAGTTTAATAACTCTAGATATGATATTATACTTAAATAATTAGGTATCTATAGGCCGTTTATTCTAAAAAATTATCAAGTAACCTTTTAGAAAATTAAATTAGTGATTAAGTTGATGAATTTTCCCTTTTTGAAATCCCAACATTATTCACTTACAATCAGTGTGACAACTTTTGACCTATCCATGGCAGGCAATGAAAATTTCGTAATATCATTTTAGTAAACTTTGCAATAGAAAATAACAATTTAAATATCCAGAAGTACTTTAAAATCTCTCTAGACATATATGAGCCTCTCGTTTGACAAAATGACTAACTACAATTTAAACATTGATTAGTGATGTTTAAGCGGCAAAATTTATGCCTTTATTTACAGTTCTATATTTCAACACTACAATCACCTACTCTGGAATCAACTTACTCACTGTCTTTAAAGATACAACTTCTCCAACTAGGAACATCACTAAAATAATATTATTCAAAAATGTTGGATTGGATTTAGTCATTCTGTCAACTGAAAATCTCATATACTGAAGTTGGGTAGTTTATAGAAACAGATGGAGTAACTAGATTTTTATTGTCGATGTAGAGTTTGTCAACACCACATTCGTCTAGATATAAATAATTAATAGTTATCGATATATTTTTACCAACAGGAAGGTGCGTGCAGATTTCAACCAAGTGCCGTTGGAGCAACCCTACGGGGATATGGAACAGTAGCGTCTTCAGAAAAATCACTTCAGGCAGCCATAATTGATATTGGTCCAATATCAGTAGGAATCCACGTCAACAACAATTTCTTCGCCTATGGAGGAGGTAATTTGATGCCTATAAGAATAATGTTAGTGCTTTTATTTGTGGGAATTGTTTTTAGGATTGTCGCTGGAATGGCAGCCTGCACAATTGTGCAGATTGGATCCGATAAATTTAAATTTAGAAGCAAAAAAATTGCCCTTTTAATTATTACCCAACTAGTGCAAAACCACACCAAGGAAGAGTTACGTGTTTAGGTTCTCCGCTAAAAGGTATGTAACGATTTTTCAGAGAACGGCTGGATCGATTTTTAACTTTGGTGGCTCAAATTATTCAGTGACATCTCAAGGATGTTTTTAAACAACTTGAGCTAAAAACGATAACCCACGATTGAATAAAATATCTTTAATCGACCCGTTGAAATGTATGTAACGATGTGTTGAGTGAACAGTTAGACTGTTTTTTATGTTTCACTGCTCATATTATTCAGTGAGTTCCTGTGATTGTTGAAGTGCAAACTTCTTTAGACGCGTTTTGCAATTCTTTTGTAATGAGTGCGTTAGATTAATCTGTCAGATTTCCAATGTGTAACGCTCGGGTAAAGTCGGCTGGAGTCGATTAATTGAAGTGTTTTTGCGCATGGATTAAAATTTCTCAAAAACTAAAAATCGGATCTACATATTGTTAGTGGAGGAAATGTTAATTATTTCATCCTCTTTGTAATGACCTATTATTCAAAACTTTATCTTGATATGACGCTGTGTTAGAGACGCGAAAAGGGAGACAATTGTGTTGAAAACCAAATTATAACGAGTTTTATAGAATATATGGATTAAAATATCTCAGAAACCTAAAAATCGGACCTGCATACTGTAAGGAAGTGCATTATTCAGTATTTCGTTCTCTCTTTAATGGACTATTGTTCAAAATTGTATCTCAACGCGACGCCGTGTTAGAGACACGAAAAGAGAGACAATTGTGTCGAAAACCAAATTATAACGAGTTTTATAGAATATATGGATTGAAATATGTCAGAAACCTAAAAATCGGACCCGCATACTGTAAGGAAGTGGATTATTCATCATTTCATTCTCTCTGTAATGGGCTATTGTTCAAAATTGTATCTCAACGCCGTGTTGAAATGGCGAAATGGAATAGTGTCGAAAACCATACGAGTTTTGTGGAAGAATTGGATTAAAATATCTCATAAATTAAATATTTAAATATCCCACATTTGTATAGGTTTTGTTTCATATTATGCGTGCGATCTTGATCTAATATCGAACCTGTATATTTTAAGCGAGGGAAATGTTCAGCATTTCAATCTTTTTACAATGAGCTATTATTTATAGTTTCTATTTCATTTTATTAATCTCATGTTGTTGTTGTTTTCACTTCTATCGTGTGATCTAAAGCACACACCTTTGTTTTTTTTTCAAACAATTTTAGCACGAAAAACTAAAGTTCATACTCGACTGATACGACAAGAAACCGCTCAACGTTTCCAATTACTTCAGCACTTACTAGACAAACTCTCTAAACTTCCAATTAATTATAAAAGACTCATATACTTCACTATAACTAACACCTATTTGAACTTACAGAGTTGAGCTATGGGGCTCCACTAAACCATCGAATTCCTCTCGTATCCAATCCTTACAATCCAAAATCCTCCGGAAAATCCTCAATGCTCCGTACTTTGTAACAAATAAAACCATCCATAATGACCTTAATGTTTCTTTTGTGTCAGATCTGGCCCAATCCAGATACCTATCCTTCCATAATAAACTTCAGAATCATCCCAACCCTCTCGTTTCTAACCTTGCTTCCTCTTCAATTCCTCATAACCCTCCGTGGCGTCTGAAAAGAAGATGGCCCCGTGATCTCCTAATGTGGACGTATCATTAGAGTGCTACCGTTGGGTAGTTACTCAGCTACTGTTTTCATGTCATTATATGCATTATGTTCAAATTTACTAGATGTATTTATTGAATAGAGTTGTAAATAGCATTAAGAAATAATAAAAAAAAAATATTTTAAGTATTTCTACTTTTGTATAGGTTTTGTTACATATTATGCGTATGATCTTGATCATATCTGTTAATTATAAAAGGTCAATATTAAAAAAATTAAAAGGTTTAAAATAAAAAATAAAAAACTAAAAAAAATAATGTTATATCTTTGCTCAGCTATCTTCGACGACGGCTCATGCGATCCCAACGTCATCAACCACGCTGTCTTGGTTGTTGGCTTCGGCTCAGCTGGAGGCCAGGACTACTGGATTGTGAAGAACTCCTGGAGTTCACTTTGGGGAGAGAATGGCTATATGAAGATTGCCAGGAACAAGGGAAACATGTGCGGCATTGCATCTATGGCCAGTTTTCCTATTGTTTAAGTTAAGTCTTCCTGTTATAAAAAACCAGCAAAGAAATATATTATACTCTCTTTGATGTAACTCCTTCAAAGCTCCCATCATATATGTATTATATGTATATAATGAATGTTTCGTCTGATTTTAAATCTTATTTTTTGTACGATTTTACTTTTTTTGTAAAAAATCTATTATATAATATATTATTCAAACAATTCATCTATTCTCCTTATCATTTCTTTTTCTTACTATTCATAACATTCAATGGTTATGATCAGATCTGAGAAAAAAATATTTTAGTTATTATTTTAATATAAATTATTAACGCATTTTTTTTTGTTTTGCAGTAAATTCCGTAAACTTTAAAAAAAAAACCATGGTCGATCACAATGGTTCATTATTGAAAATAATAAACCAAAAATATTTAGAAATCACGATATCTCTACTAATAGTGCTGTGATTTCGATGAAACTTCCTCCTTTTTAAGGAAATTTTAATACCTTTGAAACATCTTATCACAATATCGATGAAAAAATGTAAACTTTGTGAGTTATTCGGAATTAAATTTTACCATCCCTCGTAACTTTTTTTCCAACTTCTTTTCGTTGAAATATGTAATAAATGTTGTGGCAAGCTCTCGTGTAAGTAATTTGCTAAATTTCATATGCTAAAATAGTTTTTGAAAAAATTTACTATCTTATCAAAAAATATTATCGCGGGCCGAATTTAAGCTGCTTGTTGGCCGTAGTTTGGAGACCCCTGAGTAAGGTTATTGTGTTTCCCATAGTTTGTAAAATATCTAACAAACTAAATAGCAGACAAACTAAACACTTAACCCTTGTGTCGCTTCGCTTAGACGGGCAATTATAGATGAATACGATGGATTTCAATAGAAAATGAGTTCTCCTTTTGAACCAATCTTATAATTTTTATTATTGTTACTTTCACTTACATATATACGTAGTATATATACGTAGTATACATACTACATATATATGTAGTATATATACGTAAGATGTAGTGAGGGAAAGTATTGGGTTTGTGAAAATTTTCGAATCGCAGTTTTCAACAGAAATACACTTTTTGAGGTCCCCTGAGCTCTAATAACCAAGTTCTGCAAAATGGTCTGTGTGTAAAAAACGAAAAGTCGAACGAAACTTAAATTGCGTATTTAAGGTTTTTATATAGTTCTGACGTGGCAGCAAATTTTTCATTAAACTTTATATCAACGGCGAAACAAATTTTTGCAATTTTCTCAAAAACAGTTACAACAATTTTAATTAAACTTAGTGTATTATTATTGTATCATTAAGTGGTCTTTATTATCATTTAGGTCTTATTCCCATTGATGTCACTTTACAGAGCTTAAATGACCAATGTTGATATACGTCTTACTCTAATGTATTATTTTAGAAAAATCACTCTCTTCTATTGACAGTAACTATAAAAATATCTAAATATGAAGTTGGAAAGGATATGATAATTGGAAACTGGAGAAAAAAAGAAAAATGCTTATCCAGGTTGAAAATGAATCTTCGGAAATAACAGTCAATAATATCATATACATAAAGTTGTATAATGTAACGGAGAGAGACGAAAAAAATTTAAATAAAAATTTCAGAAAACTGACATTATTTAACGTAAAACACATGTTTCCAAGAAAATTAAATTAAATTTTCTTACTAAATGTAAACTTTTAAATTGTTTTAATTAAAATAAAAACAATAAATACTTGAAGTCAAATACATAAAGTTGTATAATGTAACGGAGAGAGACGAAAAAAATATAAATAATAATTTTTGAAAACTAATAATATTTAACGTCAATCGCATGTTTTCAAGGAAATTAAATGAAATTTACTAACTAAATGTAACCTTTAAATATTTTCAAGTTTGAAAAAAATGTTTAAAATTCACCGAATCAAGCCAATGCTTTGATTTAAAATTCTATTTCATCGTACTTGAGTGAAAGAAGAAGTGAAATATAAACATATTTCATGGATATGTTTATAACCTTAAATATATTTACTGTTTTTTAATAACTCTAGATCTGATATTACATTTAAATAGTTAGGTATCTATTGGCCATTCATTCCAATACAGTCATCAAGTAACCTTTTAGTAAATTAAATTAGTGAATAATTTGATGAATTTTTCCTTTGTGAAATCCCAATATTATACAATTACAATCAGTTTGACAACTTTTGACCTATCCATAGAAGTCAATGTAAATCTCGTAATTTCATTTCAATAAACTTTACAATAGAAAATAACAACAACTAATAGTCCTAAAATCCATAATCATTTATAGATTAAATATTCAGAATTACATTAAAATATCTCTAGGCATATATGAGACAGTTGAAAGAACGACTTACCCAATTTCAACATTCTTTATAATTAATTTTACTGATGTTTCTAGTGGTAAAATGTATTCACAGTTCTATATTTCAACACTGCAATAACCTATACTGGAATCAACTTACTCACTGTCTGTATAGATGTAACTTTTCCAATTAGAAATATCATTAAAATGACGTTACTCAAAGATGTTGGATTGTAGTCAGTCATTTTGTCAACTGAAAAGCTCAGAGACTGAAGTTGTATGGTTTTTAATAGCAGACGGAGTAACTAGATTTTTATTTCCTACCGTCGATATAATGATAAATATTTGTAATTTTAATAGTTTTAATATTTTTTTATCTGTAAGCGTCAATCTTTAGCTCTCTTTAAAATGTAATTATTTAAACAAATTACGTTAACAATTTTATAATAGCCAAACTTAGCCATAAAATAATTTCTATTCAAAGTAGGTGAAAGTTGTGTGTTGCGCGCACCAGATTTTTTTATTTAGTAATATGTAAAGTTTGGCTTTAAATAAGAATATGCTATAGATAACATGTATTTACAACGGCTCGATTGTTGTGAAGTTATTTTTGCACTTGAAAGATTAGATAAACGGAGCATTAATCATTAAAAAGTTGCGAATATGTCATTTTTAATTCGATAGTTAAGGAAATATAACCTACAGTTCAATATGGGTTTTTCCTTGAAGGAAATAATTTCCCCGCCGAATGGAATCAGAACAAATTCTGACTCACCTGATAATAAAGATCTCCTACTCTCTTCAGTGAGCTGAGAGAAGTCTAGTCGTCAACAACTATCCTGTTTATTTGGTAAGTTAACAGTTCTTATTAATTCATTTTATATTAGAAAGAGAATATTCTATATGAATCAGTGGGTGTTGTATTTGATAAGAATCGACTTGTACAAGAATAATGCATTGATTTGAAGGTTTTGGGGGAAAATTAGGGCAAATTTCAAACGTAATTAAGACACTGTTTCGCTTGTACTGCTCACCGCAGTGACTGCTGGCAGTTCAGAGCACAACTTGGCTAGAATAGAAAGTAGCATATAACGTTGACACTACTCGGCAGTATAGATATGACGTCATAACCAGACTGCTTTTTTCTGGCCACTACAGAAGCTATTGACAGTAAGCCCGTTTAAAATTATCACATAGAATAAAATTTTTGATGATAACTATCAGACACGTTGTTAAATTTCATTTCTTTTTTTTTTCATCAAGCCAAGCAAAATTAAAAAAAAAATGTTTAAAATTTAATAATTTTTTTTTTATTTTATTTTTTTATTTATTCAGAAATATTACAACCTGTCACAATTAAGGACATTTATAATAGTGTTCAGACAGCACATTTACACTCTAATCGCAATTAATAATAAAGAAACTAATAATAATAAAAGTAAATGTATATAAACATAAGAATTAAACTAATCAAAATAACAACTAAAACACATGCATACTATACTATACAATAAACTGGCTTCGGCGGTACATGTACTAAAGAAAATCAAAATTATAGCAACTTATTTCTGTAGACTAGAAGTAACAAGACTATTATATAGAAGGATTAAAATATACCTAAACCCCCCAATTTACATTAAATAATGGAAAAAATCTTTATGAGCTTTAGACCACACGATATAAGTGAAAACAACAACAAGGTGACATTAATAATATGAAATATAAATTTGTTTTCGTTCTATATTCACAAAGTAATAACATTAATAATATATACAATGATAGTTGTGTTTAAACTATTTCATAAAGTAGTAATATTTGCAATGTATACAATCATAATTATGTATGAATGAATACTTTTGATTGAAATTAGTTTGATAAATATCTAACAAAAACTCCGTGTCTTTTAGTCTTCTGTAACGGAGGTCGGCAATTACAAATTATAATTTTTAGAAACTATAATTGCAACAAAAAATCAAATAGAAAAACATAATTTATTATTTTTATGAGTAGTTAAAAAAAAATCTATAAAACTTTCGCATAGTAGTTTCTGAACTCTCCATGGCATTTAAATTTTGAGATATTATAGTCCAAATGTTCAAAACAGTCGGTATAATTTTGAGACGCCTTTCCTCCTTTTTGCCTCTTTAACAGGGCATCGCGTTAAGATAAACTTTTAGATAACAGCTCATTACAAAGAGGATAGAATCCCTCTCTTACAGTATAAAGATCCGATTTTTAGTTTCTGATATATTTTAATCAATATGTAAATACACTTCAATTAGTCCATTCCACCCGACGTTAAACATCGGACATTTGACGGCTAAATCTAATTCACTCACCATAAAATAAGTGCAAAACGCACCTGAAGAAGTTTTCACTTAAAAAAAAAGAATATCAAGTAATCTGTATATGATATTTATTGATGTTTTTATTAGAATAAATTCATACTGCTATGTACTAATTTATTTTTTACAATTATTAACAGGTAAACATAACTACAAAAACGAACGAAAATGCCTGATGTTTCATCTTATATAAAAATCAATGATAAAATCAGTAGAGAAGGTGTGGTATCCTACACACCGATACCTGGTATCGTACACAATCATCCAAAGCCCGACAGGTAAAAGTTGTCATATTGATATATTAAATTATATAATTCACTGTTTGTTTGTTTTTTTCTTTAGGAAGCTATTCTGATATTTTTGATGTTCACATATTACAATCATAACTATGAGTAATTCTTGAATCGTTGGTGAATACTAGGTGTATTTACTTTGTTGTCTAGTCATATTCTATTTATATCTTGATTGTAGGTTTTATTACTCAATAACCATTTTTGAATTATGTTGCCTAGAATATTTTCTCTTTTGTATTATGTCTAATCTGCTGTTCAATATAACCTTCCTTAGCTGTTAATAATAGAATCTTCTCTTTATTTCAGTATGGATTTGGATGGCTTCGTGAGATGTCTACTGCAATAATCTTTTTTTCTATTCTTTCTGCAAGAATGCGATGTTGGTTCTTCTGTCCTAATGATGCATTAATTGGCGAAATATTTGCAAGTTAACTTTTCACTTGTTATTTGGAGATTCATGGATTTGTTTTTGGTTTTTTCCATTTACTTGCTGACCCGTGCGTATGTAACGCTGTTTTGAGTGAATGGATGGATCAATTTTTAAGTTTGATGGCTTCATAACCATCCGAATCCACTCGTTTCTAACCTTGCTTCCTCTTTGATTCCTGATAATCCCCCGAGGGGTCTGAAAAGAAGATGGCCTCGTGATCTCCTTAGGTTAGTTTCTGAACATGAGTACACATTTACATGATGTACACTGACACGCAAAAAATTCCACCCACTTGATTTTTTCATGTTTTCATTTAAAAATATTTCTGCTTTGGATTGGTCTATTGTTTTTAATGAATAAATAGGTAATCTTTTTGTTTGTTTTCAATTAGGAATGTTAATATAGAGGACAATAACCCTTAATCCTTAATTCAATGAAATGATTCTAGTTTACTTTCTATGGAATCAAAATGTTTATTCAGTATCATTAGTTCAGTGCCGTTTCTTGCAGCACATTTCTTAGTCTCCGGCTTTTAATTTTTTCAATATTAAGTTTAAAAATGCCTTTTAGTGCTGAGGATGTTACGCGTGGTGTGGCACTTATTGCTGGTAGACGTTCCATTAGATATGCAGCTAATGCCATCGGAGTTCTTTATGAAACTTTACAAGAAGCCGTCAGGCGTTTTCGGGAAACTGGTTCTTACAATAGAAGGCCCGGTTCTGGACGGCCTAGGGTAACAGAACCACGGGATGACCGGTTTTTGACTTTGAGGATTTTACGAAACCGGCACCTTACCGTTGTTCCAGCGATTCATCAGCTCGAAGAAGTTCGAGGTGTGCAAATTTCTAAACGTACCGCTCGGAGAAGATTAAATGAGTATGAATTAATGGCTTTTCGTCCAGTCCAGAGGACCAGAGTTGACCAGAACTCACAGAGTAACACGGTTGGCTTTTGCTCGAGAACACAGCCATTGGACTATGGACGAATGGAGTGCTGTAATTTTTACAGATGAGTCAAGATTCGCTCTTCGATATCCAGACGGGCGTGAAAGATTGTGGAGAAGAAGAAACGAAAGAAGAAACAACCTGTAATTTTTCAAAGAGCCAACCTTTCGAACGAGGTTCCTTAATGGTGTGGGCTGGGATTTTAATGGAGCGCCGCACAGAATTGGTTGTTGTTCATGGAGGATCTTTGACGGCCATTCGCTATGTAGATGAGATTTTGGAACCTCATGTGTTGCCTATCCTCAACGAAATCGGCGATCGTTCTATTCTAATGCACGATAATGCACGCCTATATGTCGCCCGCATATTGCAGACGTTCCTTCAACAGAACAATATTGAGGTTTTAGCCTGGCCAGCACGTTCTCCAGATATGAAACCCATTGAGCATTTATGGGATAAACTTGGAAGACGAATAAGAGCGAGTGCAACACTTCCTAATACACTGCAGAACCTTGAAAGGGCTCTTCGGGAGGAATAGGCTATCCTCCAGCAAAGGGACATTTCCCGACTGGTGGAAAGTATGCCGAGGCGTCTTCATGAAGTAGTGAAGGCAAGAGGAGGAAACACGCGCTACTAAACGATGATGTAATTAATTTCTTTTAGAATAATAATGGTTCGTTTTTTAATTTTTTTTTTTCAATCACATTTTGATTATTAAAGGTAAAAAAGATTATAAAATTCTATAAATACTAAGTATTATCTACAAATACCATGTATTATATACAAATACAACTTTATAGAACTATTTTTAGATGAAAACATGGAAAAATCAAGTGGGTGGAATTTTTTGCCTGCCAGTGTATTTATATTGTAATGCAGTTGTGAATATCATGAACAAATAATAATAAAAAATGTTTGATGGCTTATAATAGTTACAGGATATTAATTGAAAATAATAAATTAACTGATGTGAACGTTCATATAAACTACAAATTATCTAAGTATTATTTAAAATTTGAAAAATGTTTCAGCATTGTTTGTAGGAAAGGAGTGCTATATGGGATGATTCTGCTAGCTTGGTTGGCAGGGGCCGCTTGTTTAATTTATATGACGTTAATTGTGAGGCCAGCATGTGATCATCAAGGTTTGGACATGAAAATGTGGGAAAATTATAAAGTTAGTGTTAATTTCGTACAGCTAAAATATTTTAATAAGTCAGAAATTTATTCAGAAGTGTTAATAAATATATAAACATATATTCACTCGTTTATATCTTTGTGTATAACTTTAGAGCGTGCATGGAAAGAACTACACCATGGAAGAGGATGAGAAGCGAATGTGCATATTTCTAGAAAATATGAAGGAGATAGACTACCACAACAAACTCTTTGAAATTGGATTTGAGTCTTATAAAAAAGAAATGAACAAGTTCTCGGATTTTGTAAGAAAATGTTTTCTATTTAAATAGTTTAATGATTTTATTTATTATTTGAATTCTCAAATATATACATATATATATATATATATATATATATATATTATATATATATATATATTATATATATATATATATATATATTATATATATATATATACATAGGTGCAGAAATCTAAATCAATCTACAGCAATAGCAATTAATCTACATGAATGAATAAAATATGTATGCCAAAATAAATGGATCACCATTTTTTTTTCAATTTTAGAAGCAATATAAAATAATAGTGTGTATAAAAAAAATGACCGTTTTATCAAATTCAAAGGATTGTAAATATTTTAATCCTGTTTAATACATACCAATACTTAATAATCCCTTTTGAGCATTATCTAAGCTTGTTTAATCCCATTCGACTTCTTCAAAAACTCGACAGCGTCATACAAAATTCCCGAACTTTTTAGGCATTACTGGAAAAAAAAATTCACAGCCGCTAAAGCAACTCGTGGAATTATTAAATATGAAGGTAAACGTGTCCTTGACCAGCGCACTGCGCAGCGCTGGTTTGAAAAATTTAACAGAGGAGATACGGCGTTGGAAAGGAAGAAGTGCTTCGGGCGAACATTAATGGATATTGATGAGGTCTGCAGGAAGCTGTTGACTGAAATCCGCCCATGAGAACTTGCCAGAGAGTGTGTTGTGTCAAAAGATTCTTTTATTCGCCATCTACTCATCATGGGGAAGGTTAAAAAGAGCAGTAGACTGACTCCTCAGTAATCAAGAGGTTAGAAATTTGTGATTTGACTACCCTTTGTGATATGAGACTCCTGCATAATCCACCTTATAGTGCAGACCTCGCTCCATCGGATTACTACTTATCCATGACCCATTTTGTTTAAGGGAAAAAAATTAATAATTTTGCGGAAGTTGAAATTGCGGTCCAAGAGTTCTTTGGCAGCCATCCCAAAGAATGGTATTAGCATAGGATCGAGCAATTGGCTAGCAGATGGCTAATGACGGTAGGTAACAATGGGCTATACTTTGAGTATTAATTGTTTTTTATACCAAAGAAATATTTTTTTTTTTTATTTTAATGAAATTTACAACTGTATTACATGAGAAATAAACAAGTAAATGTGACATTGGTAACATGACATGTACAACATGAAGAGAAACTACCCATTGGTAGAACTCAAATTAAAGTTCTATATTGGAAGGTCCCGAGGCCATCTTCTTTTCAGACGCCTCGGAGGGTTATCAGGGATCGAGGAGGAAGCAAGGTTTGAAACGAGAGGATTCAGATGGTTCTGCAGTTTGTTATGGAAGGATAGGTATCTGGATTGGGCCAGATCGGAAACATATGGAACATTAAGGTCTTTATGGATGATTTTATTTGTGACAAAGTAAGGAGCGTTGAGGATTTTACGAAGGATTTTGGATTGTAAGGATTGGATACGAGAGGGATTCGATGGTTTAATGGAGCCCCAAAGCTCAATTCCGTAATTCCAAATAGGTCTTATTATTGTCATATATATGAGTCGTTTGTAATTTATTGAAAGCTTAAAGTATTTGTCTAGTAAGTGCTGCAGTAGTCGAAAACGTCGGGCGGTTTCTACTCGTTTCAGTCTGGTATGGGGGTAAAAAGAAATAATAATACAAATATTTCGTTGAAAAACGAAAAAATATTTTTGTATTTACCCTATCATCTACATTATGGTAAGAGCAAACAAAAAAAATAAATAAATAAAAGAAAGGATTATTTTATTATCATTGATTAAAAACGATAGTATTAACTGATTATTTTGATGTATTTAATTTTTACTTCTTTTCAAAGGAGGCCTTAAAAAAATATATATATTTTCATGGTGATTGACTTTGAGTTGAGTTTCTTCAAATGACATTCTAATGAAAGTTATTGTTCATTCAGGTTTTTTTTTTTTGTTAATTGTTGTCAATGATAAATCTAGATCAGAGGTTCCCAAACTTATTGTTCAATGGATCACATTGAGACCTACACCCTAGTTACACTTGAGCTGTGAAAAGAGCTTTACAAGAAAAAAAAACTAGGCAATAAATATTGTAGTAACTTCATACTCAAGTAATTTGCTAAATTTAATATTTTAAAATAGTTTTTGAAAATTGTACAAAGTCATCAAAGATTACGGGCCATAGTTAGGAGTAGTGTTGCCCAAATGCTAGACCGAGAGGAGTCTTGGTCTTGCAAACTCAATCTTGGTCATGGTCTTGGTCTTGCGCAAGACACTCGCAACAGTCTTGCAGTTACTTATTAGCTTATTACTATAGGAATATTATTGTATTTTTTTAGATAGGAGTAACCTAACTAAGCCCAAATGAAAAATTAGAGGAGTTGAATGCAAAAGTATATTAGTTATATCAATTATTAACATAAAGTAACCAAGATTGTCAAGTATTATTAACTATTTTGAATACATTTTTATTAAAAAAATCGATTTTTTTTACCAGTCCTGGTCTTGGTCTTGCAACAGTTAAGAGTAAGACCAAGACCGATTTTGGGCAACACTAGTTAGGAGACCTCTGATCTAGATTAATAAAACGTCAATCGCTTATACCAAAGTTTATTGACTATGTCTGACACAACCGAGAGATCCCATGTTGAGCATTTTTATTACGGCTTGGAAAAATGATTAATTGTTTCAAGCAAACTTAATTAAAATACCTAATGTTTGTGTTGTTATTTTAAACGCAGACTCCTGAGGAATTGGACGGAATGAAATGTTTCCAAGGAGATTTTAAACGCCCCCCTTCACAACACGTATTCTCTTTTCGCGAAGGCGCACCCTATCCACAGAACCTAGACTGGAGATCGAAAGGGGCAGTAACCGAAGTCAAGAACCAAGGACAGTGTGGTTCTTGTTATGCATTCTCTGCTGTGAGTTTCCAAAGTCATTTTTATTTTATTTTTTATCATAAGCTATAATCTAAATCCAAACAATTGATAGATAACTAAGATGTTAGTTCCCTGATTAAATAGTAAATTTACAGCTGATTTATAATATTGACGTACATATTATTTTCATCATTAGTAATTTGTTATATTTTCCAAATTTCACCAGAACCTTATTCATCACCCAAATCCCGTTGCACAATCCCTATCAAACACCACCCATCCATCTCTACAATCCCCTTCGTAGGTTAAAGCAGTAGTGGCCACGAGACTTTTTGTAAATATGGATATTTTTCTTACTCATTCTCCGCTGGTTTTAAATACCAGTGAAGTGGCTGAGGGAGAAGCGTTCGGATCTCCTAAGCCTCGCTTTTCCCTTAACATGTGGGGGACAAGATTAGTTCGGAGTTTCCCTGGCTGATTCTAAATAATGTATATAGGTATGCTTGTATCTAAGGTGTTTGTTTACTCTTATTTATATTTTGACTTACTTATGTGTATATATATACATTTTTTCTTATTTTTTTCTTATTTTTTTGTTATTACTTTATTTATTTATGTTTCTTTATATACGGTATGGATGTAATCTCTGAAGTCTATTATAAGTGTCCTTAACTGAGGCAGATTGTAATATTTCTCAATAAAATGTTTTTTTTTTTTGTTTTTTTTTTAAGAAAAAGGAATTTGTTATGAAATAAAGACAAAAAATGACGATTGTTAATGTAATCTTTAGTTAATGTAAGACTTTCCAAAAATCAAAAACAAAACAAATTTCTTGTATGACAAATATTTAGAACAATACATCTTGGTACCAAATTTTTTAAACTTTTAAATAACTATAACAATATTAACAAAAAATTATACAATTTTTGAGTTATTCGGAAATTTAATTTTACCACCCCTCTTAACTTTTTTTTCAGCTTCTTTTCGTTAAAGTATGTTATAAAGATAAATTTCCCATAAAGATAAACTTAGATAGATAGATAGAAATTTTTTATTTATTTTTTGTATTCCCTCGCTATTGTATTTCATGGCTATTGCAGAATAATATGGTTTTGCAAGTTACATACAAATCATTTAAATATAAATAAAATTTACAATATTTTACGTTTAGAATGGGTTTTACAAAATACATGAATAACAATAAAAATTAAAAATATAAAACGATTACTGCATAATAATAGTTATACGAACCTCTTAGTATGATAGAAACAATAAAAAATAAAAATATTTATATATATAAACAAAATATCACTTTTAAAATAAACCTAAAACAAAAACTTAATAGAACATGGGCTATGATAAAAATTTTTGTGTATTCACATCATATAATAGTAAACTTTATTTAACTTATCCATACAATCGATATTCAATATGAAGGAAGGAGATGGTCCGGGGTTGCGGTCATAAAAAGGCTAAATAGTGGTAAAACTATTTTATTGAAAGCCAACGTTTCGACCCGACTTTGCAGGTCTTCGTCAGGGAGGTGTGTTCCTCTAGGAGTTTCACTTAGAACTCAATAGAATTGAATGAATAGATAGATAGAATAGAATGAACTCAATAGAACCCCGGACCATCTCCTTCCTTTATAATGCAACGGTCAACCATTAAATATTCAATATTCAATATGGTTTCAATGTTGTGGATATCAGAAGATTCTGAAATATGGAGGAATTTTTTCATAAAGATAACCTTCTCATTTCAAAAATTCTTCTTCATGTCACCAAATTTATTATAAACAACAAAATGCCTATATATAAACAAGAATTTCTCAGACTTCAAGACAGACTAGGTTATTCTTACTTTAGGGCTAAATATGTGCAGCAGGTGAAAACACCACAATATCGGGTCAAACGCTTTAACTACAATCTTGCAATGAAAAGTGTTGCTAGGATATAGGTTTAAAAAAATGAATAATTTGTAAGTAGTTTCAAGATAAACAAAATTTAGAATAAAAACCTATTTGGCTAATAATAGTCTATGGGTTTCAGTTCTTCTCTTATTTATATGATTTTATTTATATCTAATTTTTACTTTCACTTACGTATATATGTAATATATAGTAAGGGTAAGTATTGCGATCGAGAAAATTTTTGAATCTGGGTTTTCAACGGAAATACACGTTTTGAGGTACCCTGAGTCGAAATGACCAAGTTCCGAAAAATGGTCTGTGTGTCTGTGTGTTTGTATGTTAGCAGTCTAGCTCAAAAACGAAAAGTAGTACGAAACTGATATTACGTATTTAAGATAGGTATATGCCTTAGAACTTTTTCCTCAAAATTGGCTAACCGGAAGTGCCACTTTATATCAACGCTGAAACACATTTTTATAATTTTCTCAAAAGCGGCTTTAACGATTTTGATTAAACTCGGTGTATCATTGTATAATGATGTAATCTTTAATATCAATTAGGTCTTATCCTCATTGATTTCACTTTACAGGACTTAAATGCCACATACACATCTTCCTCTAAAGTACCTTTAATATGGTTTATTTTAAAAAGTCACATTATTCAGAGTTACGAAAAAATGCTAAATATAACTTTTGAAAGAATTTGATAAGTTAATAAAGGAGAAAAAAAATAAAAATGCAGAAAAACCTGCCTTGCTATAGACTGTAGCGCCTAAACGAATGTACTGATTTCAATGAAACTTTGCTAAAGTCATTTTATCGACACCCTTTAAATTTATTTATATAACATACTTATAGTTACGAGGGATGGTAAAATTAAATTCCGAATAACTCAAAAAGTATACACTTTTTTTGTGAATATTGTGATAAGATGTTTCAAAGGTATTTAAATTTCCTAAAAAATGAAAGAAATTTCATCGAAATCAACCCACTATTAGTATAGATATCGCGATTTTAAAATATTTTTTATTTTCACTCACGTATATATATGTAATATATAGTAAGGGTAAGTATTGCGATCGAGAAAATTTTTTTGGTATAATTTTGTATATATTTTTAATTTTTAGTATTGATGATGACCTACACGCTTGGTCGGCAAACATCATTAATGATTGCATATCCTTACTAGTTCCATATATTTTTTATTTTTCTGACTCCTTGGATTTTTATTTTTTATAGACTGGCTCCTTGGAGGCACAACATTTTATCAAGACTGGGAAATTAGTCTCCCTCAGCGAACAGAACATAGTGGACTGCTCTGGACCACAACGTAACAGGGGCTGCAAGGGAGGAAACATGATGAACTCGTTCCGCTACATCATGCAGCATGGGATAGATACCGAGAAGTTTTATCCATACGAAGGAAAGGTAAACATATTTCGCTTGTCACGAGTGTTTTGTTTTTTATATTCATTTATCTAAATAAATACAATTATGGTTTTGTCCTTATATTGAACAGAATCAACTCGGTTCATGATATCTTTCCGTTTTATACATTACAGACACCAAATCCACTTTTCAAAAATTGTTTGTCAGTTCTCATTATCCAACGAAATTTTGTCAGGGGTAAGCTCAGCAATGGCTTATGGTAGACTTTTAAAATTTTGATATTATATTTAGGTTTGCTCAACTTAAAATATAGGCTTTAAACGAAAACAAAATATTGAGTAGAACCAAAGTTATGAATTCTTGAGTAATGTGTTTAGAGATCCCCTGGATAAGTTACTATTTCGCTGGCGCGGTCCACGACAGCGACCGCTATTCCACGCTGCCAACCGCTGGGGTTGTTATAACCTGCCTATAACCTTCCAACAATTCGCTGTATCTTCGAAGATAAAAAGATGGACATCCTATAATAATAAAAATGGACATCCTGTAATTATGAACATCTCTGACTACCGCTTTTTTATTTGAGGAGGAATAAGAAGAGAAAATGTTGTTCATAAAGAGAAGGAATATGCTCATCATCAAATCCCTTCTTGGACATTGTTTGCTGTTGTCTAGATGAACAACCAAGAACAAAGAACAAAAGGCGGAAAACGCCGTACTAACAACAATAGTCCCTCTGATATTAGATATTATTAGTTTGAAAAGTAATAGTAATTAATACATAATTGATTAGAAATAAATATCATATATTTGTAATTAAATGACAGCAGGCGATGTTTTATAGTTTTATCAATAGTAATCAGTAAATCACCACTTTAATTAAAAAATACAAATCGATTTTTCAATGGGTGGATTTTAGTATTTACCTGACGATAAAATTTGTTGGATTCTTTAATTTATTTAATATCGTTTGGATTTAGGTATATTTGTATTTCGCTGTAAAATATTGCTGGTGGAATAAATAAATAAATAATCTTGTTACTTCAACCTTAAAAAAATAATTTACTATTGCATTGTTTCAGTTTTAAACAATATTTGTTATAATTTTGCCAGACTTGAAAGAAACATAGGAAATAAAACGTATCGACGTGACTGTTATCATCAAAACAATGCTCTGATATGATAACATAACCTACAACCGCAGAACCGCCAACAGCTCCACTGCTTCCAGAGGAGTCAGATACGAGCAGCTTAGATATGACGTCATACCTAGACTGCTGAGCAGTCCCAGCGAAATAGGTTCCTTTCTATTCCACTAAAGCAGTGGTCAACCGCGAGCAGTCGCGGTCGTGGACCGCGCCAGCGAAATAGTACCTTTAGGCAGTTACTTACTTCGAATCCCATCCCAACCTACTCTATCGCGAGCCACATTTAAAAGTTTTACTACTCAACTGATCAAATATTTTCTTTACGGCAAATATTAGAGAAAAAATTGGAGTATAACGGTATTGTTCACCAGCTGTATATAGATTTTAAAAAGGCTTACGATTCTATTGACCGCCAGAAATTGTATAATATTCTAATCGAGCAGGGGATTCCAAAAAAACTAGTAAATCTAGTCAGGATGTGCTTGACGAAGACACTCAATAAAGTTAGAATCGGTAATAATTTGTCCGAAAAATTTGAGGTTCGTTCGGGCTTAAAACAGGGGGATTCTCTTTCGCCTGTCCTGTTCAATTTGGCATTAGAACATGGCATTAGGGAGGTAATGCGAACCGAGAAAGGGTTGGATCTGGGCGGGACAACATCCGTGCTGGGCTATGCTGATGATCTGGTACTGTTAAGCGAAGACGTTGAAACTATAAAACTGAATACGACAACGTTAATGAAAGCCGGGAAAGAACTAGGACTCGAAATAAACGTGGATAAAACAAAATATATGGTTAGCTGCAAAAATGGCGATACTACGGGTGATATCGATATAGATGGTAATATGTTTGAACAGGTAGATAAATTTAGGTATCTAGGTTCTACGATAACTAGAAAAAACGAAATTGAAGAAGAGATTAAGGTTAGACTGAAGGCGGGGAACGCTTGTTATTTTTCTGTGACAAAACTACTTAGTTCGCGCCTCTTGTCCCGAAACTTAAAAATTAGAATCTATAAAACAATTATCTTACCTACAGTTCTTTATGGATGCGAAACTTGGCCGCTTACATTAAGGGATGAGCAGCGTCTTAAGGTTTTTGAAAATAAAGTATTGCGTAGAATATTCGGACCAAAAAAGGATGAGTTAACCGGAGAGTTCAGACGGTTACACAACGCCGAATTGCGTGAGATGTATCCGGGTAATATAATTGAGGTAATTTCATCGCGGCGAATCAAATGGGCTTGTAAAGTTGTTGGGCTTAGTAACGAGAGAATTCCTAAAAGATTAATATTTGCTGTGCCGAATGGTAAGCGTCCGAGGGGTAGACCGAAGCGAAGATGGGAGGATTGCATTAAAGCCGATCTGAAGGGACTGGGTTTGGACGGCGAACGGTGGAGGGAGGTGTGTAACAAGCGATTGGTGGTGTCGGCATCGAACCTTCGGGTTCGCTAAGCCTTATTATTATTATTATTATTACTACTCAACTGATGGAAAAAATTAACTCAACGGGAAAAATCCGGAATACCGAACATCTGTAACGCGTTGTCGCATAAAACGGGTAAAACACATTCTTTTTTCAACTTTGTCCGATCTTTCCGTTTAAGGTGTCATTTGATTCAACTTCCCGAACCTCACAAATTCTTCCATATACATTTCAAGGATTAACGGTTTAGCCGAAAATTCACCCTGCTCGCCACAATATTTAGATCAAGTTCTTATTTTACACGGGTGTAGGTGACTCAATGTCCAATGTTATTTTGGGTATTTTGTCAGCGATAAGCTCAGCAGAGTTTAAAGAAGTGGAGAGACTACAACTCCTTTTAATTATTTCAATCGACTCCACAATCTCCTCGCTTCATCATAACTGAAAATTAAACACTTAACTAATTTTAATGGATTGGTGGTGGGTCGATTTAGTTTTGTGCTACATAAAAATAGCCGAATAACAAAGTTTGTTATGACTATTGCAAAACCTTGACTTCTATAAGCCCCGTTATAAAAAAATTCAAAACAACTCCCCTCCTCTCTCCCGACTCAATTTTATGAAATTGAATTTCGAACCCCCCTCCCCCTTCTGCTCCCCCAATAATACCAAATTCATCTCAAAAAAAGATTCTCAAATGTTGACTATACAGTCGTCAACGACGGGTGCATCAGCTATTTCAATAATAAAGCAATGTTCCACGTTGGAGGGCAACAATTATTTGGGCTACACGTGTTTTTTCGTACAATACCTCTGCTAAAAATTAGGCTTTTTGTTTGGTTCAACCCTTTTCTGGAATCACCATATTTCTTACATCTTCCGAGCAACAATTTCTAACCTCAAACTATTCCATAGCTTCCAACATCTTTTCTCTCTCAACATACGTGTAGACTTCTTGTTTCCTCTCTCATCTTCCCCAGTTCGACAACGGCTGTATGGTATACGGCTGTCTCTCGGTAGATCTTGGTGACGAAGAGACTTATGAATAGCTTTGTCAGATTTGTCACTGGGATCTGAGACGTTCCCATGTTTCCCAACGTTACGCTGATTTAGGGTGGCTCTTCACTTCCTTCCGCAGACGTATTTCCTAGATACATTCCTTTACCAAATAATCAACAACCAGCGTCCTACCTATGCATACAATTCACTCTATCCACTCCCTTACAATAATCCTTTATAATCCTTTTTACGAATCCGTAACACTCCTTCAACAATCTTTTGTTGTCAGCTCCACCATATTGCGGAATTTCATTCCTCTACAAATCCAATATACTCATCCATATTGAAAACCAGCTTACTCCACTTTCTTTTAACAAAAAAGTCAGGTACTGGATAACCATTTAATAGGCAACATCATTTCATTCCTGATTAATCACTTTTGAATACATAATTAAATTTACCATTATATATTCTTCACTGAAATGGAATTATTTATGTTTTACGATTTATGTTTAAGGGTATATATGAACATTTTATTTATTTCTAAATAATATTTTTCATATTTTTTGTTATTGTATACTTGTGTAAATTTACTCAAATATTTTTAGATAACAGAAATAATTCTCATCTTTTTATTGTTATTGTTTTTTTTTTAAAAAAAACTTTAATATTTACATAGTTTTTATACACTAATTATTGACGATATACTAATTGTTATTTAATTTTGGGGATTTGGTAAGTATTCTTTACGAAGTTTTATTTTTAATACTTTTCTAAAATCTCTTTAAAAGCGGAACACTCAGAACAAGTAGTTATTACTCAATTTTTATATGTTATTATGTAAAAAAAAACTATATTTAAACAAATTTTCATCAGAAGACCCTTCTGTGGCAAACCCAGCCTCTATAAATTGGGCACTATTAATTAATTATTTAACTAAGAGAGAAAACATGGCGGTTGAGCGTGATATTGGCCCGTCAACTCCCTTCACAACCCTTATCCAAGACCCTTCATGGGTTTTTAGTGGTACAGATTTTTTTAAGTTTAAACATCAATTTTAAAGTAAAACATTTTTTATATTTTTTATTGTGGTTTACTCTACCCCAAAGGGTCATAGGCGTTTCTTATATTTCTACATTCAGTGCTATAACTTGATTTCTTTTAAGAATTCCACAAGATATTTCCAAAAAAGGGATTCAACTGCTGGCATTCAACAATTAAAGATAAAAAATAATTATAACAGATTAATTCAAGTCGGTATTAACATTTCAAATTTTTGATAAGAAGGTAATTTTTAAAACTTTTTAGAAAAATCAAAGTATAAATTTAGAGCACCTAAACTTCAACTCATGGTTGTTATAGTAAAGAAGGATCCATTGTTAGATATTAAAAAAAATGTATTACTTTTATTTATTTATTTTTTTTTCTTAAGTAGAAAAAACTATTGTAAAAATTTTGTTTTAGGTCAGTAACTTTTAACCTTTTGCGTAATTTCAAGATATCAATATAAAAAATCGAAATTTTGTGGTGTTTTTATTGACATAAAAAGGCAAGTTTTGAGTGCTATCAGAAAGTTGTCCGCCCAAAAAAGTGTTTTTCGTTCCACATTATTGGGCATGCTGCCCATGCAATGCTCGTGCATTTCATGAATTTCGGAAAATTTTAGCCTAATTATAGGAAGGACAAAACCAAGACTGACTGACCCTGCAATATTTGAGGAAGACGAAACAGACCTGCAAGACTCTTGTGTCTTGCAGTTAGGTCATACTGAGACTTGGGCGTTGTTGAATATTTGGTTATAAAATATATTTATAGACGTTCTCTAGTATCGGTATCAAACCAAAGATTCCTTAATTCTAACATCAAAGTTGGTTGTAATAACACTAAAACTTCTTTTTTTTATTTATTTTTTTTCTATCTTTTCTTTCCAAATATTATTCAAACTCTACATATATGACGTAGGGTAGACCCAAGAGAAAAATTGAAAATTTGTGTTTTCTTAGCTATGGAAATGAGAAAAAGGAATATTGACTGAGTTCGACGAGAGGTGATAGAGCAAGATTCGAAAATGACACAAGAATTTTCGAGCAGTAAAGAAGGAAATTTAAGATTTGTGTTTTTTTAAGCGAGTAATGTTATTTGTAGAACAAGAAGCGATAACTTAATAAATATTTAATTAAAGAAATTAAATATTGTTCCATAGTAAACTAAACAAAATTTACTTTAAACGTAAGTAGAGTTTGTCATTTTTTTTTAACTTTTATTCTTTTATTCACACCTGTCATAATGGTAATGACAGTAAGTGAATGGAATGACAGTGGAAAAAGAATATAATGGCATGTAAGGCATGAGAGAGAGCAGGACCCAGCGGCACCTCCTCCTGGCGTGATATCTACATTAGGCGAGGAGGTCCCTCATCCAGCTCCTCTTCAGCCTCCTATGGACGTTACCTGGCATTTGCGTAGTAGCCATGTCATTTATAAGTGTATTAGGATGTCTTTGTAAGTTGTCATGGAATCGTTTGTAATGAGTACATATGTGTTCGTTAACTTATGACTTAATTTTCCGCCCAACAGTCTCTTTAAATAGATTTAAAAATGACAAACTGTACTTTTTTTTAAAGGAAATTTTGTCTTGTTTGCTATGGAGTAATGTTTAATTACTTAAGTCAAATATTTTTTTAGTTATTGCTTTCTATTTAACAAAAAAAGTGACTCGCTTAAAAAAACACATTATTAAATTTTCTACTTTTCTTCTGTGAATTGGACAACTGTTTATGTAAAGTTTTTTGTAGATCTTGATTTCTACTTACAAACTTTCATCCTGTATTGTTAGGTTAATTATATTAATTTGGTTGTAGTTTATTAAGTCTATGCAAATATAGTTACGTAGTTCTATGATCTAAAATATAGTGTTTAATAAATAAAAATAGGCTAATAGATAATCAAAAGAATTGCGAGACTCCTGATCAAGACCCAGGACTGGACTGAGTGTATAATCTCAAGATTAAGACAAGTATCGTCTTGGTCTTGAATTTGGGCAAAACTAGTTGAGTTATATGTGTTCTTATCACAAGTTATAAATTGTAAAAAAAACAACATCTAATTATCAATATATGTTTGACCGACAGGAAGGTACTTGCAGATTTCAGATAAGTGAAGTTGGAGCAACCGTGACGGGATACGGAAGTATAGACCCTTTCGAAGAAGCTCTTAAGGCAGCTGTTGTTGATATAGGCCCGATATCAGTTGGCATCCATGTCAGTAAAAATTTCTTCCAATATAAAACAGGTAATTAGAATTCTACAAGAGTAATGCCATTGCTAGTATTTAGTTTTTTTTTCCAAGGATATGCCCCTGAGGAGGAAGCCTGTACAACTGTTAAGTTCAATAAATTCCAATTAAAGGTACTATTTTGCTGGTACTGCCCACGGCAGCGACAGCTATTCCACGCTGCCAACCAGATCTGTGAGAATTGCGTAGCTATTTCGTTGAAACTGCTCACTGAAGATTTCAGTATAACTTCGAAGATAAAAAAATAGATTTAGAATAGAATAGAATAGAAAATAATTTTATTCCGGGACGAAGTCCCTTCACAATAACAAAAAATTAAAAAATTAATATGTTATATCTGGCCAAATAAAAACAAACATAAGAAGTAAAGGTAAAGATAAGTCATTAAAGAAAATATTAGTTTTACATACTATATACAAAATAAAATAATCAAAAAATCTGTATACAAAAATCTTGAAACCTTGCCAAGACACTTAAAAATACGTACAATTGTAAAATATAAATATACACTTATAGAAAAAATAAAAAATACATTACAATCTTCTTAGCAGTAAACTCTGTGTTTGTGTTGAATAAATAAAAAAAAGAAAGTCGAATCTACTAATATAATAAGTATTTCAGTTATGAGCTGTATGTAAATACATTATTATGAATAATATGTAATTTTACATAAAAGGTTATGTAATGAGGGTATCTGACTGTTTTTGGGACAGGAATTGGAATAGGAGGGTTTTGAATGTAGACAGGGATAAAGAATGCCGAATTTTGATAGGAAGGGAATTCCAAAAATTAATGAAGGAGTTTTGGAACGAGGCAGATCTGTGAGAAGGAATGTAAAGGTCGGAAGGTCGAGATCTTGTGGAAAGGGAGTGGACTGAGTATTTGAATTGGAGAACGATGATTGTTGCTGATATTATAGAGGAATGTACCTAGGAAATATTGTGTTCGAATGGAGGGGAAGAGCCACTCTAACTCACTGTAGTGGTGAGAGACATGTTACGGATTTACTATCTCTTACTATTGTTTTTTTTTATTAGAAGAGGAAGAAGAAGAGGAAATGTTTTTTATAAGGAGACGGAATAGCAATAATAATCAGTAAATCAACACTTTCATTAAAATATCACAACTTTTACTTACCGCTCAACTTTGTATAGAAATCTTTTTTTTTTTGTCCATGTTTGAATTGCACTTATAACTGAGCTAAATCTAAAAGCTTACAGCTAACAAATCATAAATACCATTAAAATAGAAAAGTTCTATTTACTATATCACCGCTTGATTATGGATTGTATGACTATTAGTTATTAAACTGTTATTTTTCATTACCCTCCGAGGCGTCTGAAAAGAAGATGGCCTCGTGATCTACTTATGTAAATATTAAAATCCATTGCAAAATTTTCTACAACGGAATTAAAAGATTTGCATTGTCTGTCATAGACAGGTCAAAAGTTGTCACACTAATTGTAAGTGGATTCTGTTGGAATTTCACAAAGGGAAAATTCATCAAGTTATTCACTAATTTAATTTTCTAAAAGTTTACATGATGATTTTTCGCAATAAACAGACGGTAGACACCTGATTATTTAAATATAATATTAGATCTAGAGTTATTAAACTACAGTAAATATATTGAAAGTTATAAACATATCAATGAAATATTTTTATATTTCAGTTCTTCTTTCATGCAAGTACATTGAAATAGTATCTTAAACAGTGTCATTGCCTTGAATCCGTACAGTTAGATTCAAGTAAGATATAGGTAGACATTTTTTCTTGATCGCTTTTGGTACAAGTTTTTTGACTGAATTTGTCACATAATTACCAAAACCTCAAATTACCGCAGGTGATTTTTAAATTCATCATTAGCAGAGGGTTCAAAGAACGTTTTGATTACAGTACGGGATGAAGCCCCCCACAAATAGTAAAATATAACCATATTTTATAGAAAACAATATTAAAAACTATCTCTTAAAGTACCAATGTTCATGTAATTACATTTAACATGACTTCAAGAATCACTTAAACACCAACATGACATATAGGTGTAGTTAGTTTTTTTTTTTTTTTTCAAATTACCTACCGTTATATATATGAAAAAACAATCTTTCGGGCTGAAGCTCACTCCACAAAATTGGATCCTGGATCCGCAGTGGTGGAAGCAGCGTGGAGAGATTAATACTCGGGAAAGCAACAAGAAGAGACGGCATCGTCCCTGAATTCATCAACTATGGTGGAACAGAACAGTTGACAGCATTGCAGTGCCTTTTTCAGAAATTAATTACTGAAAAAGCTATGCTCATTATTTAAAATCAGGCATGTTTTAAAAATTATTAATCAAATAAAATAATTATACATCAAACTATTATACAATAAACGACTCAAACTACTTTACTCTCTTTTTTCCTAAATCTTCAAAACTAAAACTAAAAAAAAAAAACTGAATACATATACATACTTACTTAAGCCCATATGGACGTATTCATCACAAATATACGGTATCGCTAAAAAGACCCACCTACAAAAACTTCAAACGTTCCAATCAAAATTATTGCGACTCATAACAAAAGCACCTTGGTACGTGACTAACAAAACTCTACATACTGACCTCCACTTTCCAACAGTTGACCAACATATAACGACCCTTTATCAACGATTTTACACTAATTTAAATGGACATAATAACAGACTAATAAGAGACATGGCCACAGCTGACATACCTCAGAACATGAGGAGGAGACTAAAAAGGCGTTGGATGAGAGATCTCCTTCCTTAAACAACTTAAGTAATTGGAACAAGTTAGGGAAGAGGTACTGCTGAGTACTTTCCTTCCCCATGCCTGTCATGTCATTATTTCATGTATCGCCATCACATTTGCTAATTGTCAAGAATAAGTTGACAGGCGCAAATACATCTTTTATAGACAAAAAAAAAAAAAAAATATTGCACGATTTTGTGAAGTAAAAATTAACGATTTCAAATAATGATGATACTTATTCTTCATCATTATAAATATTTCTTCTTTCCATTTAAACAAATTTTGCCTTTGTCAATGTTATATTTTTGCTTAGGTATCTTCCAAGAAGACAACTGCGACCCCTATGACCTGAACCATGCCGTCTTGGTCGTCGGCTACGGCATAGATGGAGATCAGGACTATTGGCTTGTGAAGAACTCCTGGGACAAGACTTGGGGGGAGGATGGCTATATAAGGATGGCCAGGAACCAGGGTAACATGTGCGGTATTGCAACTATGGCCAGTTTCCCGTTTCCTTAAATCTTCCTCATGTAAAAAAAAAACTCCAAAGAATTATATTATACCCTCATAGTACATGGATATTTATTTCTTAGTGAATATAATAATTCACCTGGTTTTATTATTTTTAAAACAGGTTATGTCTGTGTGATTTTAATTTTTTGTAAAAAAATCTATTTAATAACATTTAATACTAAAAATTTATTTATTTCCTCTATCATTCCAATTTTTTTATACAATCATAACATTCGATGGTTGTAAACATAATAGTAAAAGAAAAAAATATGGCGTCTACACAAAAGCTAGATTGGCGTTCTTACTATCAATTTAATAAAATTACTGGTTGCTATGGCCTGAGTAATCATACAGCTAGACTTTTCATTATGGTTAGGGGGGGGGGGAGAGGGATACGAGGCGATGGACTCCCTCTACTCCCCTAAAAGTCTCAGAAGATAACCTGTTTAAAAATTACTAGTGACAACCAACATAATCAACGTAATGATGTATACAAAATGCAATACCAAATATGAAAAAAATATATATTACGTTTTTCCTTTGTTTTTATTTATTTTTTTTTTGTCTATTGGTTATGGGTATATTAGGAAATTTAGGAAATATGGTAAAATTTTCACATAAAAATCGAAGAATATGTTGATACACACGGTAAAATACTTGCGTACTTACTTCTAGCCCTTAGTTTAGCAATTTAGTCAACTTTTATTCATTCATTTAGATTAATTTTGATTAAATTTTCTTTAAAAATTCTTCGAAATATAGGGGAGGGGATGAAACGATATTTCCGCCCCCATTAAATTTTATTAGGAGGACGAGGCAGAAGCGATGGTGATCGGACCATAGAAACGCAGGAAATTCAAGTTTTGTGTTTTTCTAAGTAAGTCACATTTTTGCGATAGTTCCATTCGATAACTACTAATGTTTCGAACTAAAAGTGTTAGGACTAGAACTAAGGCTCCATAAATACTAAAACTACATAAATATTAGGATTATTTAACGACCACATACGGACACACTACAAATGATTTCAAGATATAGATATACTGACACGATAATACTACAATTAACATGCCCGAAAAGACGCTTAAAGATTTAGAGAGGTTATTTATTAATTAATATTTCTCTTATTAATATAACAAAATTAATAATTTCAAGGAATTAACATTATTGAACCCTTTCATCTCCTCTAAATGCTTCAATTCATTTTTATTTTTATTTATTTCGACAACGTTTGAGGCAAACTTTTCTCATTTTCAAGTCAAACTTTTTATCTAAAATATTACAATACATTAAACACAAATATATATGAAAAGAATGTAACAGCACATACGATAGCAATCTACAAAATTCACAAAATCAACTAAATGAATAAAATATCTACATTATCTTATCCTCACTTTCTTCAAAAGTTAACTCATGACTATTTATGAAAAGGTAATTCAACAATTAAAATAAAGATACTGAAAATTTACAATACATCTGAAATAAGAAAAGCCTAATATTTTCAACTTTTTACCATACTATTTTATAAATTACCTTTGGACACGTCTGATAAATTTTATTATATAAATTTTATTTTTATATATAAATTTTAAATAGGGCTGAAGATAATAAAATAATAAATTATCTTGAATCTATCTATATAACAAATAAATTGGACATTTCTTTCACCAAAAAAGATCTGCTGAACGAAGCTAAAAACACATAAAGATATTTTACTTGAAAAACTAAAGCAAGAGAAAATGAACGATTACATTAAGAGGGCAAGATTAGCAGAATATCATAAAATGTATGCCAAATTAGAATATGATTGTTGGTATTTTCGACAGAATGTTTACAATCTATATTTCATTCGGCTAATTTTTAAAGCGAGAGGTGTGGCAGGATAAAAGGAGAAATTGTTCTTTGTGCAATATGAATGCACCGGAAGATAACTTTCATTTTGTACCCAATACTATAGTATGCCCAATACTGAAAGAGTTCAGAATAGCATTTTTAGGTATGCATCAACTTAATTTTATAAAAAGGATAAAATTTGATATGGCCCGAACTACAGAAATCTTTATTTGTACTTAAAAACATCCACTAATTATAGATGTGAATTAGTGAGAGAATATAATTTAGAATAAAAGACATCTAAGTTTATGTTAATGTATATTTGTACATTATGTTTAGGTATATATATATATTCTTATATTTAGAAAGAATTTTTAGTTAAAATTAAGATTTTTTAAAATTAAGTAGATAATATTGCAATTGGGATCTTGTTATATTAAAACTGTCTGTAATCTGTAAAAACATAAAAGACAAGATATCTCCGCGAATAAACTAGACGAAGACCCCGACAGAAGAACATAAGTTCATTGTCGATAAATCGTTTAATTATATGTAAAAAAAATATATACATATGATATTATGTACTTTATAAGCAAATTAACGCTTCTATCTAACTATCTATCTATAAAACTAAAAATATTAAAATGTGGTTAGTTTCGAAACGGATATTAAGGGGATTGGGCAGCACTATGTAGATATAATTAATAAATTAGAATTTTAATTAAATAAAAGTAATTTAAATAATCATTTCAGCAAAATTATTAGCAATAATATGAAACTAAAGCATTAAAATAATGCAGTGCACTTAACACCAAAGAGCATAATAATATATAAGAACACAGCTTATAGTGGATATTAGGATATAAAAAAGATAGGATGAAAATGTATAGCATTGGAATGATTTTTTCCATTGGAATCCATTTGGAATGAGTGAGACGTGTCCAAAGGTAATTAATAAAATGGTATGGTAAAATGCTGAAAAATTCGTTATTTGGTCTTTCTGATTTGAGATGTATTCTAAATTTTCAAAATTTTAATTTTAATTGTTGAATGAACTTTTCATAAACAGTTATGAATTAACTTTTAAAGAAGGTGAGGATAAGATAATGATGTAGGTAGATATTTTATTCATTAAGTTGATTTTGTGAATTTTATAGATTGTTATTGTATGTGCTGTTACATCTTTTTCATATTTATTTGTGTTTAATGTATTGTAATATTTTAGATAAAAAGTTCGACTTAATAATTGGGCAAAGTTGGCCTTAAACGTAGTCGAAATGAATAAAATCAGTCTGGCCTGAGACGCCCTGGTGTGTACATCGGTGTAATTCGTTCATATAATCTCTCAGTTTACTTCAATTTAATTTTCAGTGCAGTTAAGTTCAGTTTTTTTTTTCTCTTCTCTTTTTTAAAAAAACACTATTATTAATCACGCTATTAAGTGTCGGATCTTCACACCAATCGGAGTAAAGAAAGCGCAGCGAGATTGATAGAGTTCTGGGAGCAACGAGCTGGCAGGCGTCTACTAATCCTAACAGCATTAGACCAGCATTAGACGTTGTTTACTACCGTCAACAGTCTTGGTATTTATTTATATTTTAATTGCGAAGTAATTCTCATTAATAAATTTAAAAAATGGTGCAGTGTAATATTTGCAACAACTCTATCGCACGCGAAGATAAGAACAATATACACTGCGTTAAGTGTAAAATAATTTTTCATGGTAGGTGCGTCAACCTTACTGATAAAGACTCCGAAGCATTAAAAATAATTAAAAAAACATGGGTTTGCTCTAACTGCGAACAGGTGAAAAAACAAAATAACGAGCCGTCCCCCTCAGAAATACTTGCGGCAGTAAACCGTTTAGACGCTACCGTGAACGAAGATATAAAAAACATGAAAACAGCACTAGATAAATACGGAGAGCTCAGTTTTGAACTAAACGAAAGACTGACGAAGATTGAAAAACATCTGGAAGGTCAAGCTAAAAAATTTGAGGAGATACTATTAGAAAATAAAGCACTCAAATCCCGAGTGGGCGAATTAGAGGTTCGCTTGAATAACGCAGAGCAAGGACTATTGAGTAGATCACTGGAGATCCGCGGTATACCGGAGCGACCGGGCGAAACGCCCGCTGCTTTGGTGACCAGTATAGGAGCAAGCTTGGGGATCAGGCTTAGTGTGGAGGACCTGGACAACGTACATCGCCGCAGAAGCCGAAAAGATGACTCGCGACCACCGCCTGTTATCGCACGTTTTGTCAGGCAATCAATTAGAGATGACTTAATTACGAAAAGGAAAGTGAAGAGGGATTTCTCCACGCGGGATATCGGTTGGCAGGAAAATGACTGCCACCGAATTTATCTGGGTGAAGAGATGACTCGCACAAACAGACACCTCTATTGGTTAGCCCGGCAGAAGAGAGCGGCGGGAAAAATCAAATATACGTGGTTTGCTTCCGGAAAGGTGCGGTGTCGAAAAGAGGACGGACATAGAGTCATCCTGATAGAACAGGCCTCGGATCTAGATGTATTTGACTGACTACCTAGAAGCCGTCAACCCCTTAGCCTCATTAAAATAGTCTTACTTCTTCTCTTAGTGCTATCTCGACACCGTCACTCACCAATCTATTTATTTTTAAGTACATTCTCTTTATTTATTTTTAATGTTAATATTACTTTTTCTTCATTTAGTTTCATGTACGATAATCGCTTTTCTGTACTTTCTACTCGTTTTGTCTTCTCGCTACCAAACACTGACTGTTTCTCTCCAAATCCACTGTATGTCTAGTTCCCTAATCACATGTCAAGTTAACTCTCAATCACTTTCTGCCCATTATGACGAATTCCTGCAATACTTTACCCAAAACTTTTATCATATCATAGCAATATCCGAAACCTGGCTTAAACCTTATATTCCATCATCTTCAGTATCCTTGCCGAATTACATCCTGCTCCGTCATGACCGGGTAAACCGGACTGGCGGTGGAGTAGCCATGTTTGTCCACAATAGCCTAAAGACCCGAATCCTCGATTGCTCCCCATCTTCCGATCATCCTCATGTAGAATATCTCTTAGTAGAAATTCTCAGTAATATTTCTCCTATCCTTTACGCCGTGGTATATCGCCCTCCTCTCGTGCCATTTGACCCGTCCTTCGAATCAACTCTAT